TTTTATCAAAATACCCTTTATTAATTCTCCAACTCTCAAAACGACGTAGTTTTAACATTATTGGAGATAATTTTCATCACGAAATTAGTATTTTAAAGTAGTTAAATATATAAACCACTAGGATTGATCTAGTGGTGAGGGGTTTGAAATAAATATAAGTTACTTGTATTAGGTTAGGTGTTTAATTCTCACAATTGCATAAAAAAAAGTTAAATATATTAATATTTATCTACGCAACATGCTATATTTATTAAATGTGTATAATAATGCATTTAAATGTTCTACTTTGTTAGCTAACCTAATGCATTGATTTTAATTCAACCCAAAATCACATGTGCAGTTATAGTGAGTAAAAGCACATGCTTAATTCATAATTCAACCCGAATCTTTTATTTGAGTTAAAGTGGAACCTTGTTTTTGTTGACTTGGGAGTGGGCTTATTCATTACGTCAATGTTTGAACCACAAATTTTAAGAAGTGAGGACAGTCGTTATTAAAAAGTGGATGACCAGCAGGTGATAGTATAATGAATGTATTTAGGTTAAGTGATTAGTTTATAATTTGAAATTGGGATAAAACACTTTGAGTTGATAAAAATGGTCTCTCTCTTTTTTCAGCTGAGATAAAAGGAGTCGTGTTGATCCATCCCGATTGTTTTTCTTATAATTTTTAGACAGATATATTTATATTATATAAATAATATTTGTCAATTATTCTTGTTTAAAAAGTTCTAAACTAGCTTGGGGGGGGGGGGGGGGGGGGGGGGAACACCCTCGTTTTTTTGTTTTGTTTTTGCAATCAATAGCACCGTGATATTAAGACAATACATAATGAATAGTAAAGTGGTTCATTGTCATGTTTAGATCGTTTTATTTTAATCTTGAACAAGTATTATAGGTTAAATAATTAAGGGGAAAGTTAATTATTAGGAAGGGATTTCCACAATTTTGATGATTGTGAATAAGGTAGTTTTTCTTTTATTGCTTTAAAAATTATATTTTTCTTTTGTTTGAGTTTAAAAATAAGTAATGTTTGTGTATGTCATTTTGTAACCTATGAAATAAGGGCGTGCATGGTAATTTGAACTGATTTTTTTTCTCCAAATCGAATTGAACTGTTTAAACTGATTCGGTTCTTTAAAATGAACTATTTAATTTAATTTGAATTGATTTTATTTTTTCGGAATCAATTTGAAAATATTTTAAAACTAATCCATGTTTAAAATCAGTTCATAATTTATAACTTGTTATGAATCAATTTTGAACTATTTTTCTAAATCGATTCTTTTGATTCGATTTGATTTTTTGAACGAATTTGTAAAACTAGTTCGATTCTTAAAATTAGTTTAGAAAAAAAATATTGTTAGGTTGGGTTTGGTTCGGTTATTTTGCACAATCCTATTAATATGAAATATCATTGCACACTAATTAAAAATTTTATGGCTTGGTTTACTCATATTACAACATTGTGACAATAGTGTTTAAGGGTGTTCGCGGTCTGAATTGGATCGGTTTTGGAAGCAAAAATCATCCGATCCAATCCTTTCGGTTTGATCATATAATCATCCATTCGGTTTGGATTTTTTTTCAAATCCGATCCGATCCAATCCAATTTTTTTCGGTTTGGATTGGATCGGTTTTCGGTTTTTTGAAAATTCCAAAATTTATTTCTTAATTATTGTGCAAATTACATCTTTGTATATATTGGCTTTGTAATTTATTTATTTTTGAAATACAAAAGCATTAGTAAACTATAATATAATTTTTTTTTTGGGCAATGAGATATGAAGGTTTATAAAGATCAAATTTTATTGCTGAGATGTGACTAGATTTTTTTCTTGGGTTAATTAGTTGATGGATTAATGGGTCTTGGGATTAGAAATTTTTGAGCTATGATTAGGGAAAAACCCAAGTAGGTAGAGGGGAATTAATATATTGGATCGGTTTGGATTGGATCGGTTTTCATCAACCCATCCAAAAACCGATCAAATCCAATTAAAATTTGCGGTTTTTTTTCGGTTTTCGGTTTTTCGGTTCGGTTACCGCAGTTTGAATCGGTTTGGATCGGTTGATGAACACCCCTAATAGTGTTGGACCGTTGGTTTTAAACTCCTCTTGGTTTGTTATTAAATCATTTAATTAAGGGAAAAATATTTTGTCCTTTTAAATTACATAACTTATATCATTTTACTTTCACAAAGAGGTGGGACTCACACTTTTATTTTTTTTGTTCACTCTCTCTCTTCCTTTATCTATCTCTTTCTCTCACTTAAAATGACACAACTTTACCTCCTTTAAAATAACACACAATTTACCCTTTAATTAATGCCCTCAAACTTCCGGAGGTAAAAAAACACACCTAAACTTTTTGTTACCAAATAAAAAAGCACAAACCGAATGTCCCAATAATAAATAAAGTGACTCATTAGTCATTATCATGGATTATGATCCAAATTGAGTCATTGACACACCCAATAAAACGAGAAGGCATTTGTCTTCCACGCTCGCATCTTTTGCAACTACGAAAAATAGCAATTCAGCACCCTTCAGTGCAAAGGATATTTTCGTCCTTTCGAAAACTGTAAGCCGCATCTATCTCTGCACCGACTTCCACTGTGATGCGCATTTACTATTTTGACCTCCACATGCCACATTAGCATGGCGGGAATCTGACTAACAGTAATTATAAGTATATACTAAAAATATTTTCTCGTGTTGCATAAGAATTCAACAATTCTCATGTTGAGACTCAACTAATAGTGAATCTCATATTTATTAAAAAGAGAAAAAAAAAAAACTTTGCATGCAAATTAAAAAGTCACAACATGATAATTAAATTTTCATGCAACATGAAAAAATCAAACACCATATACTATTTTCCTTTATATAATGATAATAATAATAATAATTAATTTGATTGATTTAGCACCAAAAATTAAAAAGGAAAACAAAACAAATTGTGTTATTATGCGGTTTACTTATAGTTATTAAATATTTATTTAATTACTAATATTCTTTTTAATTTTTAACTAAGATGTCTTTATATGTGTTGTGATATTAAGTGAAAGAAATCAACTTAACATTATAAGTGAAATTGTTCTGAAACTAAGGGAACTTATTGTATTATGCTGACAAATCCCAAAAACAAAAGGTATTATTATTTATTAATAACCACTTCATCAACCTCCCAACTGTTTGGAGGGTGATACTGATTACATTACTCCAAATTTTATACCCATAGTTTGCTAGATAATAAATCCATCCCATTTTGATGAAAATAATGCTACTGTTAAAGATATATAAAACTATCAATGTAGTCTTAACTAACTCTTTAAATTTTTTGGTTGAATTGGTTCTTTTGGGTTCGATCTTCGTTGCCTTTCATTTTCTTTGTAGAATTTTTTAGCACATGTAAGTTTTTAAATTTTTGATTTGAATTACTTCTTTACATGTTCTGGGTTCGATCCTCGCCGCTTCCTATTTTCTTTGTAGAATTTTTTAGCACACGTAAGTTGGGTCTGATACATCATTCACCTTTTAAGTTCGATGAACTCTTTTGTGAGGAATATGTTAAAGATATATAAAACCATTAATATAACATCACCTAACAACTTAAATTTTTGAATTAAATTAATTTTTTACAATTTTATTTGAAAGAGGGGTCCTATATCCTGTTTTTAGGGTATGCACCTTTGGAACCTTGTTGCAAATAACACTAAAAGGAGCTTCCAGTTGTGGGCAGTTGATGGGAATCGTTGATCTACTAGTATTGCCAGAGAGTAACTTTGATTGGTCCCACACCTGCAATTGAATGAATTGCTTTTATTGCCGATGAGCCATTGGAATTTACATCCTTGCCTTATGTACCCATCATTTGTGCATGGAGGCCATGATAAGAGGCCGAAAAATCTTCCTTCAAATGGAGAATCTATGCAGTAGGACCCAATCCATAATAGAACTTTTTTTCTTAATGCCTTATTACTTTCTCCGTGAGAGGATGACATGAAAGTTTTGAAAAGAAATGGAGTTGTGCGTACTAAACAAACTAAACAATTCCAATTCAGAACAATCAACTTGTTGGAATGTTAATGTAAGTGGATTGGTATAGTGATTAAAGAGGAATGCTTCTTAGTTCCTATATTGACAACTGTGTATCTAAAAAAAAAATAGTTAATTCTTATAATTGTATCAGGTTAATGGAAAAAATGCACTCTTAAATTTGATGGGGGAAAAAGTTTTAGTTAATTCAAAGACACCTTTATTGTATTATGTTATAATATAGTTAGCTTAATTAATGATTAATTTAAAATAATTATATTAAAACTAAAATCTGAAGCTTATAAAATAGCCTATTATGATACAAGTTTAATACACCGTTTATATAGAATCAAGTGAGTAATTAATTGATTATATAAAGAATGTTACAGTAAATATATATTTTAAGAATATCAATCAAATATAATAAAACCTTGTAAAGTCAATTTCGTGCAAAAAGTCAAGTTATTTTACAAAATATTAATAAAGATTTGTAAAATAACTTAAAATATTTGCAGCCTAATTCTATTTATTTAAAATTTACAGTTATTAATTATGAAAACAGAAAATTACGATTCCTGGAATTAAAAAAACATATAAATCAAATCCCAATTATTATAAACATAACAAATCAATTCAATTGATATTTCTGGTGTCAAGATATGAAAACAAGGCATGGCTTGAACCAAATGCAGGAACAAGACAACGAAGACATCATTATATCAGAATATATAATTACCATATTTGGGTCCTGCTGTAATTTGGTCTCTTGGTTTGAAACTTTTAGAGAGGCAAACAAACAGAGAGAAAGAATATGAAAGAGAGAAAAAAGAAAGAAAGAAAGAAGATAACAAAAAGGGTAAGGAGGTAAAATGAATAGAAAGTGTGGGGACAATGAAAAACATGAAACTTGCAAATAAAACCAGCAACAAAGTTATATACCAACCACAACCCCAACATTATTAGAGCATTCAAGAGACTTGGGATACAGATGTCATTATCACAAACCTCAACCCCATTTCTGCAATTCCATTGAAACCTTCCCACCTTCTTAGTTGTTACACCCCCACTTCTTCTTCTTCCACTTGCACCACCTACTCACTCACACTCCTTTGAGTCCTTTCACTCACACACCCAAAGTGGTGTAACAACAAGAACAAGAACCTCACCACTCACTGTTGTGAAAGCTACTTGCTTTTTTCAAATGGGGACCCGAATTCCTTCACACCAGCTCAGCAGTGGCCTCTATGTCTCGGGTCGACCCGAACAGCTCAAGGAGCGCCAGCCGACAATGATGTCACGCTCAGTTCCGTACACCGGCGGCGACCCCAAGAAATCCGGCGAGCTCGGAAAAATGCTCGACATCCCTGGCGTTGATATCAAACCTTCGCGTCCCTCTTCTTCCTCTCAGCACAACAGCGGGTCAGTGAGATCCGGACCCAATTCGGGTCCAGCAGGAAGGACAAGCGGTTCGGGTCCCATGTCGAGGAAATCATCCGGGTCCGGCCCGATAGCTCTGCATCCCACGGGTCTCATAACGTCGGGTCCGGTAGGATCCGGCCCGATTGGGGTTTCGGGTGGTGGTGGGAGGAGGTCGGGTCAGCTGGAGCAATCCGGGTCGGTGGGGAAGGCGGTGTATGGGTCGGCGGTGACGAGCCTGGGTGAGGAGGTGAAGGTGGGGTTTAGGGTGTCGAGGGCGGTGGTGTGGGTGTTTATGGTGGTGGTGGCAATGAGTTTGCTTGTTGGGGTGTTTCTGATGGTGGCAGTGAAGAAAGCGGTGATCTTGGTGGCTCTGGGGGCGATTATCGTGCCGGTTGTGGTTTTGATCACTTGGAACTGTGTTTGGGGAAGACAAGGGCTTTTAGGGTTTGTCAAGAGGTACCCTGATGCTGAGCTTAGAGGTGCCATTGATGGACAGTACGTCAAGGTTACTGGGGTAATTTTCTCTCTTTAACTTTTCTCTTTTGGATTATAATCACTCATTAATGCTAACTAATGTTATCTGATAATTATCATTCTTCTTCTTGATGCTAAATTATTTATTTTGTTGAGCTAACATTATTTATTTATGATCAAAGTTTTTTTTTTTTTTTTCATTTTAAGATGAGTTGAGAGTGTGGTGGAGAGGATGGTTTTTTTTTATTTTAAAAAATCATTTATTGTTAGGTAGGGGATTTTGGTATGGGTTTGATACTTATATGACGAATGGATTTGGCCATGGTGATTGCGACCACTTATGTAGTTGTCCTATATACTGAATGTTTCTCTGCCAGGGTAGCTGGAGCCTTGAATATCAGTATTTAAGCTAGTAAATATAGTTCTAATATATGTACCCAAAAGAAATTTTGTTCTAATATAGATGTATAAATATGCTTTAGTGATCTTGCAAACAAAAGGAGGGGCTAAAAAATTGCTCAAAATGGAAAAGTTAACTTGCACGGTGTGGAATCATTTTCTTAGTCCAGAAACTTAAGTTTTTGATAATGGTAACCTCATGAATTCAGCGTAGATGGTGGGTGGTCAGGGATAATGATATATAATGTGCATTTATGTGGTGGACTAAGTAAGGATCAGATATTTGCTTCTCCATAAAGGTCAGAATTAGGAAACTTTTTGCCTTGCTACAAAAATTGGTTGCCACGTAATCATATTTCTTTGCAAAAGTAACTGAATACTAACCTTGGCTTCTTGGATTCTACTGCTTTGTGGTATTTAGGGAAGTTTGTTTTGCTGCAGAATTGCACAGCATTTAAGTAGTTCTTCTTGCATTTGCTTCACCTGCCCTTCCCTTTCTTTTTCTCTCTTCTCACCTTATGGTTTCCTGGTTGCCATTTAAGTAGCAGGCTGCAGGGCAAAATCTTCTTCATGTCATTGTGGATATATCATGCTTATCAGGTTGTTATATTCTTAATTGTTTGAATCATACTTCCTGAACAGGTTCACCACTTACTCTTAATTGTTTGTTCATTTCTTACATTAGCGCTACAATGTACTCAAATAGGATGTTCTGTATATGGATGATAATGTCCTATACTAAACTTGATGTGTCTGTGGCCTATTAGACATGCTAATTTTCCGGAAATTTTGTACTCGGATATTTTGTTTCTTACAGTCTTATGGGAAGGAGTTGCCTCATTGATACAGCTCTGGTGTAATTCAAGTTAAAAAATATGGATTTTTAATAGCCTTGGCTGGAGGAAAATAATATGGCATGACTTCTATAATATATTTTTACATGCATCTTGTCTTTTCCTGTAGGTTGTAACCTGTGGCAGTATTCCTTTGGAGTCATCCTACCAAAGAGTACCTAGATGTGTATATGTCTCCACAGAATTATATGAATATAAAGGATTGGGCGGGAAATCAGCGAATCCTAAACACCGTTGCTTCTCTTGGGGTTCTAGATACTCTGAGGTTAGTTTGTTCAACTACTTCATTTATGCTTATGTGTACTGATTCGAGATCAAGAACAATTTGATAAGAGAGAGAAACCACTTATGCATACAGACCTACATTGACTTGATTGGTACCTAAAATGTACAATGACTAGATGCTTAAGGAATAACAAATTGATTTGTAGGGAAGAAATTGTATAGCAGCTTAAAATTAAGGAGACCTTAGAGTTCAGTGCAGTGTTTGATTCCCACTGAGAATTGGGTGTGGACTAGTACTGGCAAGGTCAAATATTATTTCAATTCTTTAGCTTGTGGCCCCATGCCGTTGCATATATAATTTTTAATGATGTAACTGCCGGTCAATGTAATTTGCCTAAATTTGAATATGCTTAAGGAGGGTTGATATGATATGATTTGAATGAACATTAGAGACCAGAAACATGTTGAAATCATCACTGCCAAGACTACTACATTTTCTGTTACTTCATATGTCTCCACTTACTGGGTATCTTTTAACATGTATTATTTTCTTATACTTCACTCGTGCCATAATTTAAATATAAGATATTTCTACGTAGTCATATGAACTAAAGATACACAAGGTAAATAAATCTGGAAGTGTCAGATTCCGTTGAGTAGGAATAGCAAAAACACTACAGTGGATGCTCACTTAAAAGTAACCTAGCCTATTTAAACAAATCATAAAAAGCCCTACCATCACAGGCTTCAGTTGGATCAAGTCCTACGCTTATGCTGCCCAACCACACCAATCCACCTAAAGATGTGTAAAGCCCAAAATAGTTGGATTAATTAAACTCATTAACACGCATGTCTTTAAATGAATCATATTATCAGAAACCAAAACACAGAATTATTGTTAGCCTGCGTAAGAAAATTCTTACACCAAATATCTTTGTACCGTACATTTTACAACAAATTCTCACACCAAATATCTATGTAAGGATTTTAATTTATATTTTTGGTTTGGTCTGTCTCTCTTACTCTACATAATTGCGACAGTTTTATTATTTTTACATGGACAGAAATACGTAGCAGACTTCTACATATCAGACTTCCAGTCTGGATTAAGAGCATTAGTGAAAGCAGGATTTGGTGCCAAGGTTGCTCCTTTCGTGGAACCAACTACTGTAATGGAAGTAACAAAGGATAACAGAGAGTTATCTCCAAATTTCTTAGGCTGGCTTGCGGACCGCAAACTCTCTATTGATGATCGGATAATGCGCCTAAAGGAAGGGTATGGACTGCATTATTCTGTGGTTTACTATTTTCATCATGCACCTAAACGTTTTATTTTTTCTGTTTTTACAATTTACTTTTTAATTGCTATTTTTGGTACTTAGTAAGTAAACTTGGGGAATGCGTAGGTACATCAAAGAAGGTTGTACTGTAAGTGTGATGGGAGTTGTTCGTAGGCATGATAATGTGCTCATGATTGTTCCTTCTGCTGAGCCTGTCTCAACAGGCTGTCAATGGATCCGCTGCCTTTTGCCAACCTACGTTGAAGGCCTTATATTGACATGTGAGGATAATCAAAATGCTGATGTCATTCCTGTTTAGTATCTTCTCTTAGCCTGGAAATCAGTGTCACAATACACAAATGGCAGAAACTGATGGGGAAATCCTTACACTACAGAATCAGAGTGTTTTCCACTTGCAGGTTTTTGTGTAAATTGGCTTGGAAGAAGATGATGCAAAGCAGACTACTAAGATTGTCATGATAATCATATAATATGATTTGATTAAATATGACGTAAGGATCCATCATGGCCAACTACAAGCAATTTGAGAATGTCATCCACGAAGTTGCACATTGTTCCTTTACTGCTTATTTGATGTACATAGTTAGAGGTGCCCGAAGGGGTTCAAAGTAGTTGCTTTCTTATATTGAGTTAATTCTAGCCGGAATGTAGCTTTTGTCGCCAAATATTAGTTGTGTAGTTTGGTTTACCTTGTATTCTTAAGTTGATATCTTGTGTCCTGCCTGTGTTATTAGTTGAAAAAAACTCAAAACCATCAATGTTACCACGACCCTGTTGTATAAATGTTGGCTGAAAGTAAGTTTTAACTTACGTTTTGCATTATCTGCTTCGTTTGTGTTATTAAATGAGCAGTTAGAACAAACATTGCAGGATATTTTGGACTAGGCCCACCACTAGAAGATGAAATTGGAAGCTACAGCCTAGAAGGCATTCCCCCAGAAACCACTACATTTTCTCCTGTTATATAAGAAGCATCATCAGATGCCAAAAACGCTGTAGCAGCAGCCATGTCTTCAGTTGTACCAAGCCTTCTAATTAATGTCTTCCCTTCAAGATCCTCCCTCTGCAATAGCACACAGAAAATCGATTCAAATGACTATTGATAAACTGAGGAGACTTGAGGCAATAGTTAAAACTAAAACACTATTTGGGACAAAAGATACTCACAATAGCATCATTAGTAGAAAAGAATGCAGTAAAATGAGTTGGCACAAAACCAGGAACAACACAATTTACACGAGTATTGGGAGCCATTTCACTAGCAAGGGCCTACACAATGAATTAAAAATATTTAGCAGATATAAAAAGATAGTTTAGAAATTTTTGAAGGCACAGATGAAGCCAAGTACCTACTTTGGTAAGTCCTAGAACGGCTGTTTTGGTGACTCCATACATAGCCATAGTACGTGGTGGGTTATATCCAGCAATAGAAGAAATGAGTACTACAGAAGAACCCTTGGGCAAGTGAGGAGCTGCATCCTGTATAAACAATAAAGTGAATAATACACCACACGACAATTCCAATTTCAGCAGATAACATAAAAGAGAATAAGCTGAAACATATATGGCATTCATTCTCTTCTTCTTTTGGTTTTGACTTGAGTTACCTTCAGAAGAAGTATAGTGGATTTGACATTTATCTCCCACATCTTGTCAATGATCGAATCTTGTGTTTGCAAAATAGGATCTACAGAAGGATTAACGGCAGCATTGGACACAACAACATCTATCTTTCCATACTTCTGTAGCAAACCAGAATGTTAACCGCATCTTAGAACAGGACTCTTTAAGTATTTGCAAAGACTAACTACTAATAAATGCACTCAAGAAAACCCATCAGTTTCCTTAGGCTTAAATTCATAGTAATTCTGAAGAAAGTTTCAGATCTCACCTGTAGAGTTTTGTCTATCAAATTCTTCCTATGTTGTGCGTTTGAAACGTGGCAAACAACCGCCAATACTTCAATTCCTTTAGCCCTCAGCTTGTCCGCAGCCACATCAACATTTTGCTGTGGTAATTTAAGAAGGAAAAAAAAAAAAAACTTTTCAGTAACGAACAAATATCTGTACAAAATTGTCAAATGATAAGACTGCCTTTTTAACAATGTGCTCTTTTCTCACCTATTATCACCATTTTCCCCTCCATTTTTTTGGGAAAAGGTGAATCAATACAGAAAAACCTGAACTCTTCTAACCCAAATACAAGAAAAGAAAAGAAAACAGGATTTCCATAGGGGCCAACATGACACGAAACTAACACACCAATCTAAATCAAACAGATAACACTTCCACTTGCGAATAAAATAATCCTAACTTTCCTCAAACAGTTGAGATTTCACATGTTCTGAAGAAAAAAAGCTGAAAAATGGGAAATTAAAAGGCACCCATTAACCTGTTTGCGAGATGAAATGACAACGGATGCACCCTCCAAGCCAAGCCTCTCGGCTATGCTAAAGCCGATTCCTTGGGTGGAAGCTGTGACAATGGCTACCTTACCTTGAAATCTCATGCCAAGTTTGGTCGTGTTCATTTCCTAGTTTTCTATGCAACAAAACAGAAAAAGTTGACTAACTTTATCACAACAAAAACAATTGAAAGAGGCTTGTTTGTGAATGGTGAGAAGCAAGTTGAACTCTGCTATCCTCTCTTTATAGCAGTAGGACACGGAGAAATAGGTCATTTCCATTTAATCCCAGACTCCACCATTTTTTGTTCCCCATTAGTCATCACCTACTGTTCTATTTGGCAGAGGGAGAAAAAAAAGTTGCAAATCATAATCACCAAATGCATGCATGTGCACTTTTTTTTTTTTTTTTTTGCCTTCTATTAAACAAATTTATAATTATAAGTTCAGGAGAAGGTTATACTTACAACCTATTTTCGTTTACAACTTTTTACAACTATATTTTAACCGTTGATTTTCGCCAATCAACGGTTATCATTTATTGAGAATTAATAATTAATTAATAAATTTGATTTGCGAACATCTTAACCGTTGATTGACGGAAATCAACGGTTAAAATATGATTGTAAGAAGTTGTAAACGAAAATAGATTGTGTAATGTCCCACATCGGTTGGAGAGGGGAACGAAGCATGCCTTATAAGGGTGTGGATACCTCTTCTAGTGTGAGGCCTTTTGTGGGGTGTCCCAAGAAACAAAACCGTGAGCTCGACGGTGCTTGTGCGCGGGGCAAAGAGGACAATATCATGCTACAGGGTTTGGGGCTGTTACATTTATGGTATCAGAGCAGTTTCTCTAGGAGAGCCTGTGAAATATTGCATGAAATGTTCGGGTTGTTATATTCTTGAGTTTTCTTGGAGTACTATGATATGCATGTATGACCACCGAGTGTGAGCGTAGCTAACTCATTCCTTTGTGTGAAATATGCAGAATTATGGTTCGCCCAAGAAGGACTTCTGATCCTCCTATTGACCCGACCGATCCAATATTAGCAGATTTGGCTAGACCCCGAATAAACCAGCGGGGAAATACTTCACAACCAGATCCAATGATAACGGCCTTAACTGAGATGCAACAAAATATGACTGCAGCTAGGCAGCGAGAGCTAGAAGTGATGATGAAAGCAAATCAAGATCTGTTAGAGGCTAATAGGTTGGCCAATCAAGAAATGATGGCAGCAAGCAAAATGACGAATATTGAAATGATGAGATTACTCTTGGTTGAGGTGAGGGCTGGTGGGCAAGGTCCACAGCCACAGCCTTTGTAACAGCCCCAAACCCTGTAGCATGATATTGTCCGCTTTGCCCCGCGCACAAGCACCGTCGAGCTCACGGTTTTGTTTCTTGGGACACCCCACAAAAGGCCTCACACTAGAAGAGGTATCCACACCCTTATAAGGCATGCTTCGTTCCCCTCTCCAACCGATGCGTCCCTGCCTAGTGAGGACTCACCGGGAATCTGGGCACCTGAAAATATGTCCCCAACGAGGGGTGAGATTACAAATCTCAATAAGCTCCAGGTTTATAGAGAATTCTCCATACCCCTGGCTCACTCCTGCATGAAAGTCAGATACAGAGTATACAAATACAACATATAACAGATATCATAACAGAACAGAGCATATATCCATATCATATCAAAGATGTGCGCCGTCATTCCCAAGGGAGGACCCCAAGCGGAAATCAACGCACGTGTTCCCGAGGGAGGACCCCAAAGCGGAACCAGACATATCAGAGGCGTACACCATCAGTCCCAAGGGAGGACCCCAAAGCGGACATCCGGGTACTATACAATCAATGGCCAGAGATTGTTACAGAAATCATATTACAGAAATCATATCAGAGCAAAACATATCATGTTATCAAATAACTCTATATGAATGCATCTATACAAAGCATCTAAATAACAGTCATACAGTCCAACCATAGTTCACTAACCATGGTGGAGCACTCAAGCCGGAAAAGACTCCTTAAACATAGAGCTTACCTCTTGAAGCTTTACCAATCCCTTATATCTTCAAGAGATTCTGATTCCTTTTTAGTCCCTAGGTACACCTAGAGCAAGAATCCACAAATACCAATTAATAAAATGCCCTCATGCCTAGCTTTCACATAAGGCACACATTTTATCGCTTCTTTTCATTTCTTTGCATTTTTGCCAATCTTATGCCAATACACAAGTCTAGACCACCTTATACTCGTTAGCGTTCTTTAATTTAATCAAGTGTTCACTTGAGAATTCTCCAATATAATTCTTGCCACTTTCCTTAAAAGGTCGTGGACCTACCTAGAGGAGAACAAAATATCTTTCAACGATTTTTAATTCATTTCACTTTCTTTAACTCATTCATTTTATACATTGCATTACAACACATTTTATTAAAATAAGATGTGACAAAATGTCCCCTATACTACCATCTAGGTCGAACACTATAAGGAAAAGGCAAGGGCTTTTTTCTTATTAATTACATGTAACTTACACATACAAATGTATGTTGCCATATTGTTCTAACTTAATATTTGAACATCAAGTCCCTCACCACTCTCCATAGCCGAAACATAGGGAATCAAGACACAAAGAATTTTTCCCACTTTGGCCTTTATACTAATTTACCAAATTCATACTCACTCCAACACATTAGACACTCTAAATATATCAAATAACATTTTGCACAATGCACCCTATGTGACCCATCATGGCCGAAGCATAGAGGAGGGCATAGGATTTTTTTCTAATTTTTTTTACATACATATTAACACTTATTTTCATTTCCTAAGTAAATGAAGTACAGTTAGTGGTTCACAGTGCATTTCGTCAAAAACGGTGCAGAAACCATACTGTAAATTAAGAATATTGTTCCTTAGGAAATAAAAATTAATGTAAATGATTTAGAAAAATAAAAAATATTTTTGTAGCATTGAGTTAGTTCCGGGTCAGTTTAAGTGAAAATACGCAAAAGAAAAATACCCGGGTAAAAGGCCACATGTGCTCACCTTCTTAAGTCACTTAAGTCTCATTTCCAAATCAGTTTCTCTCTCCTCTCCTCACTCTCAAAACCGAGCTGCAGCCATGGGGGAAGGGTTTGGGGTTGTCTTCTTCTTTCTTTGATTTCTCCATGGTTAAGCCACCAAATCTTCCACCCAATATTCCAATCTCATAGGAAATCGTCCAAGGAAGCTATTCCACCCCTCCGTTTGAGCTGATTTTGTGTGTGGAGAAAGATACTGGTCATCTCATTTTCGTGACACTATTCATCAAGGAAGAAAAGGTGCATTTTTTAAGGAGCCTTGCTTGGAGATGTGTCTTCTAGGCTTTGGTAGTTGATTAGAGGTAACAAACCTCTATTTTCATGGTAGTGTCTTGATTATTTAAGTTATAAAATTATGAATATGCTTTGGTGGTAAAGCATTGTGTGTTAAACTTTGATTGATGATGAATCCTTGATGTTTTGGATTTAGGAAATGAAAATAAGTGTTAATATGTATGTAAAAAAAATTAGAAAAAAATCCTATGCCCTCCTCTATGCTTCGGCCATGATGGGTCACATAGGGTGCATTGTGCAAAATGTTATTTGATATATTTAGAGTGTCTAATGTGTTGGAGTGAGTATGAATTTGGTAAATTAGTGTAAAGGCCAAAGTGGGAAAAATTCTTTGTGTCTTGATTCCCTATGTTTCGGCTATGGAGAGTGGTGAGGGACTTGATGTTCAAATATTAAGTTAGAACAATATGGCAACATACATTTGTATGTGTAAGTTACATGTAATTAATAAGAAAAAAGCCCTTGCCTTTTCCGTATAGTGTTCGACCTAGAGGGTAGTATAGGGGACATTTTGTCACATCTTATTTTAATAAAATGTGTTGTAATGCAATGTATAAAATGAATGAGTTAAAGAAAGTGAAATGAATTAAAAATCGTTGAAAGATATTTTGTTCTCCTCTAGGTAGGTCCACGGCCTTTTAAGGAAAGTGGCAAGAATTATATTGGAGAATTCTCAAGTGAACACTTGATTAAATTAAAGAACGCTAACGAGTATAAGGTGGTCTAGACTTGTGTATTGGCATAGGATTGGAAAAAATGCAAAGAAATGAAAAGAAGCGATAAAATGTGTGCCTTATGTGAAAGCTAGGCATAGCTAGGCATGATAGCATTTTATTAATTGGTATTTGTGGATTCTTGCTCTAGGTGTACCTAGGGACTAAAAAGGAATCAGAATCTCTTGAAGATATATAAGTAACTTGTGCAACAAGTAAGGGTATTGGTAAAGCTTCAAGAAGTAAGCTCTATGTTTAAGGAGTCTTTTCCGGCTTGAGTGCTCCACCATGGTTAGTGAACTATGGTTGGACTGTATGACTATTATTTAGATGCTTTGTATAGATGCATTCATATAGAGTTATTTGATAACATGATATGTTTTGCTCTGATATGACTTCTGTAATATGATTTCTGTAACAATCTCTGGCCATTGATTGTATAGTACCCGGATGTCCGCTTTGGAGTCCTCCCTCGGGACTGATTGTGTACGCCTCTGATATGTCTAGTTCCGCTTTGGGGTCCTCCCTCGGGAACACGTGCGTTGATTTCCGCTTGGGGTCCTCCCTTGGGAATGACGACGCACATCTTTGATATGATATGGATATATGCTCTGTTCTGTTATGATATCTGTTATATGTTGTATTTGTATACTCTGTATCTGACTTTCATGCAAGAGTGAGCCAGGGTACGGAGAATTCTCTATAAACCTGGAGCTTATTGAGATTTGTAATCTCACCCCTCGTTGGGGACATATTTTCAGGTGCCCAGATTCCCGGTGAGTCCTCACTAGGCAGGGACGCGACACGTGGCTGAGGCAGTTGACGGATCGGATTTTGAGTGGCTGTAGGCTACTACCTTTTGGAAGTATATTCATGTCGTTTTGTATTTCAGCCTTTGATGGATCATGACATTGATCCTTTATTTTGTATATGGCCTGTATATGTTTTGTACATGTCTGTCAGTTTGATGCATGTACATTTGAGTATTCAGATATGTTTACGTGTTGGATTGCATGTTGTTAGATATAGTGGCACTGAGCCAAGTTATGCATGCGCCCATGGATGGGCATTTGATTATATTTGTATAAGCTGTTTATCAGGAAATGCTTCTGAGTGGGATTGGAAAATCCCCAGTTGTCCGATTTATAGAGGAAACTCTGTCCGATTTTCGTTTACGACGAATGAGAATTTAAAAAGAAAAAGAAAAAGTTAGCTTATATTTTCGTAAGTTAAGTCTTCCGCTGTTTCTGTTTGTATCATATGTATGTTAATTGAACCGGCTCGAGACGGGGATGTTACATTTATGGTATCAGAGCCTGGCCCTGGACCGGTGTGTACAGCGGGGACACTGTATTCCCAGTAGGGGAGGATGTAATGTCCCACATCGGTTGGAGAGGGGAACAAATGCCTTATAAGGGTGTGGATACCTCTTCTAGTGTGAGGCCTTTTGTGGGGTGTCCCAAGAAATAAAACCGTGAGCTCGACGGTGCTTGTGCGCGGGGCAAAGCGGACAATATCATGCTACAGGGTTTGGGGCTGTTACAGATTGTAAGTATAATAATAATAAAAAATAAGGTAAGATTTTTACTTTTTATTTTTACTTTTCGAGAAGTGTAGGAAAACACCTACATCAGAAGACCTTAAACATCTAATCATCTATATGAAAAGATTGCAATAATAGAGTTCAAGGAAAAAACTATGACTGCACACAAAATCTTGATCTAAAGTTTTGTCGCTAAAGTTGTATCGCACAAAAGAATGTTAATGCAATCACCTTTGCAAAGAAGAGAGATTCTATTATGCTGGCAAGTCCTCTCAATATTTAGTCATATCCATCCTCATTGTTTAGGGCAAAAGATAAACATTTGCACAAGTGCATTTTCTTCCACACCATAGCAGTGAAATCCTGCCTTTGTCTGACACGAGTTCTTCCGGTCAATACAAACAAGTCTAGTAATACTAGTGCAGAATTGAACCTTGATTTTGCTTCGATTAGGTAAATATATTTGAAAATCGCAATTATCATCAGCTGACCAGGTTACTATGCAGTCTTGTCAGAGTAGTTATATTTTCATCGTGACCTTTAGACGACATAGGAACTTCAGTGGACGCGTTTTTGGCAAATAGCACCTCCGAAAACGACTTTTATTTGATACCACCATATACAATATGGGTCCCTCGCTTCTCATGTGGCTGCTGATGAGAAAAGTTGCAGCAAATTTTTAACACTAGGATACACGTGCGGATCCTATCAAAACAAAAAAAAACAAAAAAAATCCAGGATTCGGACGCGTATCCTGTGTTGCTGCAAATTTTCTCTTCTGCAGTCACATAAGAAGTACTTTCCCCATACAATATATAAGTATACTTTGAAATTTGAATACTTTCTCACAGCAATTCTATCAGTACCGCACATGCACTACTTACCTAGACATGGTTGTCTTGTCCCACACTCCCACTCTCACGAAAGCACTAGAAATGTTTGATGCTACAGGGCTAGTGCCTATGATAAAAAAAAGCATTTGGATAAGTAGCCCTGGCACTCATTATAAAGCAAAAAAAATGGGAAGGACCGAAGGAGTATTTTCTTAACTCGCCTTTGCTACAAACATTTATCAAGCACTGAACCGAATATGGACATTAAACAGTGAACATAAAATCATCCACAATCCATTAGTAATGAATTCAAACATTAAAATCTCGTACTCAAATATGAAAACTAGTAACATAAACATTTTTCAATTTAATCATAAGGATTTCTGAATTTCTTTAGAAGCTCTGGTATTTCGTATCCAAGCATGTGATCTATGGCTTGAATCATTTTAGGCTTTAGTTTCTCAAATTTGTCGATGCTATAACCACTTAAAACTTCTCTGAAGTGCTCTACATTAGGAAAATCACCAGCAGGTAGATGAAACTCCCTTTGAACCTGTTTAGCAAAAATATAAATGATAAGTAATTGAGAAATTAAGCAACCAAGGTAGAAGGAAGCGGAGGAGTAGACCTTTGCAAATTCATCATCAAGATTATCAATAAGCCTTTGTTGAGCCTTGGCTTTACCCATTATTGCAGGCATCTCCTTCTTAAGATGGCTAATTATATATGCATGAATTTTAGCAGATCTAGCACGCTTCACAAATTCATTGATCTGCACCATTCCAATTACAACCAATCTTTGAAACAGGAAGTAAATATATAGAAGCAAACATAAGGTATAGGCATGCAGTGATCAACGATCTACCTATAATTCATTCAACTTGCACCAACAGATCACAAAAGTAATAAGAAATTAGGGACCATACCCGACGATCACAAGCCTTCTTTGGAATATCTATCAAATCTGCTAGCAGATCATTCTGTTCCTTCTCAAAGAGATCTTGTCCTAATGGACCAACAAAGCCTTCATCCATAGGCTTATCGTTAAATGAGCTGTTAATTCAAGAAAAATAGCATAAACTTGCAACTCTCGAATATTAAATTAATTGGAGAAGCAATCCAATAATGTAAAGTGAATAAATGTGAGTATTATAGAAAGATAATGCAAATTTCAACTATGAAATGTCAACAATAAACAGTAAGATCAAATGTTTACTAAAACTCTGAATAAACAAAACCCAAAGACTTGTCATCATCCTGCTTAGACTGTTCAAATCACTACATGATGGCATAAATATAAAAGAATGGTCAAATTGAACCTTGTAAACAAAGCAGTGGACCATTAGACATGTTTGAAATATAACAAACTTACCCAATGTATACACGTGAAACTTCTGGAGTATTTAAAACTTTACCCAATGACCACATTAGCGCTCCATAAACTCTCATAAGCTGCGATATTACAATTAGGCATCTCCGTAAGCCAAAAAATAGATAACAAAAACAATAAATCAGGTTAAATTTTGTTGAAAGTGTCTTACTTGTTGAGTATCAACCTGGTCCGCCTTATTCAAAACCACTCGTATCTTGTCATCATTACCACGTAAAGATGATATTACACGTTTAAACTCATCACTGATGTCAAGTTTATGGGGATCAAATAAGAGAAGAATGAGATCACATTTTGCAGCAAACCAAGATACAACACCAGTGAAATCGTAGCTACGTTGAGTCCTTTGTTTCTCTCCAGATAGGACACCAGGAGTGTCCACAAATGTTACTTCATCTAGCAGCTGAAAAAAATTGCTTCATGTTCAAGCACAAATAACAACAAAATCACTGGACTTGGAAATGTAAATAAAACTCACTGGATGTGGCATTTGAGAACACTGAAACTTTGACAAAAATGAACCTCCAAATGTCGTCAGGCCACTAAAAGGCATGTCAGCATCAACCGCTATAGTATTTCCAGGAATACTCCTCTCATCAGGTCCAGACTATAAATAATGAGATAGTAAGTTTTGCAGCAAACTATATGAATATGCAACACGCACACGCACACCCACCGCACACATTTTATTGTTTGAACTTTATTGACTTCTAGAGGCAATACAAGAATAAAAGGAAGCTTTTGACAGCTATAGTATTTCCAGGAATACTCCTCTCATCAGGTCCAGACTATAAATAATGAGATAGTAAGTTTTGAAGCAAACTCATGAATATGCAACACGCACACCCACCCCACACATTTTATTGTTTGAACTTTATTGACTTCTAGAGGAAATACAAGAATAAAAGGAAGCTTTTGTACCATGACGACAACAAATCTATCAGTTGTAGGCTCTGGTCCAACGTGTGCTCCTGTACAAAGTGTTTAAAGACAGCATATAGGAGGATCAAGATCAATATAGTAGTTTACGTCCATCAGTCATCAATTTTATGAAGGAAGGAATTGCTATAATGTAGCCACTAGATCATCCACAACTTAGCCTACCTGGATAATCACATCTTAACAAATGTTTTATAAATGTTGTTTTTCCCGTGGAGTATTGACCAAGGAGCATGACCATGGGTTTAGCATCAAAATCACTGTTGGTCTGAAAGGGAGAAACCAATATAATAAGTTAATATCATCCTATTTACATGAATAAGACATAGCTAAGTAGAGCAAGTACAATGCTCACACGCATTTGACAAAAATTAATGTCTTTTATTTATACATTGGATGCAAACGCCACTTACCATCAATGGAGATACAAAATCATTATATAGGTAAGTGACTTCCAAGGGTTTAAGCCTCTCAATATACAATCTCTTCAAGCCATCAACTATTGATGTAACTGCATTGAGAGGTAACTAAGAAAAAGCAAATTATCATGATTAGAATATATCTGACACAAATTAAAATTGAGCAAGACCATATACAATAGGTCTTGATATTTGAGAAGAAACAATCATAAAAGCTCATTCTAAATTGTTTTTCCATAGAATAAACATGTAGCCACATTGCTCCAATATTGACTTGTACAGTGTACACATCATTAGAGTCATCAAAGTAATGAATGGAAATGGGAGAGGAAAGAAATAATAAATTCATAAAAAATTATACTATTATACATCTATCTCTCGCAATAATACAAACAATTGAGGAAAAAAATCCATTTGATAAATAAGAGGTGGACAAAATTGACAGCATTCACCATGCACCTTTGCACCAGAAAATCAATTGTTAATTTATTACAAATATTATCAAAAATATTGGTTCAACAGTACAAATAAGGTGACCTTTCATAGTTTTCTTTTATATCAAAGGTAAAACTTTATTTTTGTCAAAACTAGGCATCAACGAACTAAAAAAGCAAAACTGAATTCTTATTAATTTATAATAATCGAAAGTGTGAATTATAACTTAACATTAAAGTATAATACACAACCCAATATGTCAACCGTTTTGCTTAAAATCTTTTAGTTAATCATTATAGGGAGCATTATTCGTGGATTAGCTTCAATGATCTCTCAATTCTCATTACAGAAGAATCAGTCTATCAAATAAAAAGAAATGATAAATTTATCTCCAACATAATGAGTATCCCGCGCCAACAACTAAGGGAACAATATGGAATTCATAATATGGCTACACAAAGAATGTAACTTGGAAATTTTAATTTCATCAAAACAAAGTAGCACCTGTAAGTCTGAGAATAAATAATGGGACTCACTTTCTTTAAAGATTTTGAAGCAAACCATGGATTAGTTGGAAATGGTTGAGGCTTAGTAGTCCCTGCATATTATTAGTTAAATAATCCGATTCCAATCAAATATTAAAGAGTACAATATTATGAATAATTAAAAAGAACAAGATATATATATCTAACCATTTACTTCAGGTGGGGCATCAATTGTCATACTCTTTGTTTTCTGGGGAAAAAAAAGAAAGAAAAAATAAAAAAATAAAAGACAATAAGGAAAAGAATCAATTGAAATAACATGATCTAAGGAATAAGGTAAAAAGCAACTCTTACTGCTACTAAAGCATCAAGTCCTTCCATCAATGGAGGTTTAATATTTTCCTTGTCAACTGTAATCAATAAAAATGGAGTAATGAATTTCATTGAAACAAGTGAATTATTAAAAAAAAAAAACTACTTAAAATGATGAAAAGAAAGTCAGGTATTTAAAGTCAATAACTGATATTTATTTAATACAGAGGATAAATACTTGCTGTTTATGTCTAAAGGATAAAAGATTCTCTCCCGTCTCGTTGCTCTTTCCGTATTCATTAAGATTTATATGTCTAATTCATTAAGATTCGAATCACTAGTGCATTCTTATGATATTATCATGGCAAACCAAACACATCATGTTCTACAAGCAAATACAAAAAATTGATGCAAGCATTTTGTATAGGTCAATAAGCAGAGTAAAGATCAAGATCAGGAAGCATTAAAGAAAGCACACTTACTTTGAGTTTTGAGGATATCTGCGTTAAGTTCGCATCCTGCTTGTGCCAGAGAAACCAGCTGTTCGTTGCAACGAAAAATTGAATTCAAAAGCTAGTTTCTCGTATCAGAATCCGATATAAAGTAACAATACAATATAGTTAAAACGTAGAACCTGCATTGCAGTAACGAACTCCGGGAATCCCAAAAAACCTTGTCGTTTGGTATCAGCGAGAGCCCAAAGCTGCTTGAGTTGAGAGCGAGACAAGTTTGAGAGAGCAAAGAACTTTGTGGCGTCGTTTCCAGAGATGCGGCCATCTCCATCTACCATCAAACGCCGAATCAAAACGAATCGTTTTTGGAATCGCAGTCTCTGAATGAGCATGCGTTGAGTAAAGAATGTGAGAGTGAGCGAAACTAACCTGAATCCGCTAAGTTGAACCATTCCTGATACGTTTTCGTTTCATCTTTCGAACGCGATTCTGTCTTCATCTTCGGAACCACCTCTTCCCAATGATCAACTCAGGAGTTGGAAATTGGAATTCAAATAGCAGAGAGGGGTTCTTTTCAGTTTTCAAAGAGTTGCTCGCGTGCCTGATTTTGACGCGTGGATAGTGATTTGATGATCATTATTATGATTTGACATGATTTCGCTTTAGAGTGGGGCCCTTGAGCTATTGACGTTGATGTGACTCTCGAAGATGGTTTCTCCACCGAATGTTTATGTGGACGGGTCCGCATTGGATTCCACCTTTCTCAGTCTCGTCATTTCGAATTTTTGAATTTAGGCGCCCTTATGGTCCGCATGTAAAACGCTCACACTGATCATTTTCTGTCACGAATAAATCATGATGGCCATGTTGACTGGTGCTCACTTCAAATTAAAAAATATTATTGTTGTTATCAAAAAAAAAAAAAAAAAATATTATTGTAAAAACAATTTGGGGTTAGGGAGTATTAAAAATAAATAAATACATTTCAAATTCAAAGAGGAAGGGCGGCTTCACGTTTTTTTATATAAAAAAATGTATTGTATTTTTTCAAATGATATGTGGTTAAATTAATGTTGTTAGATTATGTACATATGCATGCGAAAATGATACTAATTAGGGTCCGTTTGGATAAGCTTTTAAAAAAATAACTTTTTATGTATTACTTTTTTAAAATAACTTTTTTTAAAAGGTAAAATTATTTTACGTTTTTATATATAATCTCAAAATCACTTTTACATAAAAAAAGTTATTTGGATGTTAAAATAAAAATAAAAACACTTTTTATATATAAAATTCCAATAAAAAAGAATAAAATAGCATTATCGTGAAATAAAGAGAGATAAACTAGGTATGATAGGATAAGGTTAAAATTGTATTTGAAAAATTTATATTATCTTATTTCCAAAAAAAAATGTATATTATCTTTTAATCTCTGTTTTTTTTCAAAAGCAACCAACTACTAACTATAAAAAAAGTAACGTTTTAACTTTAATTTTAAAATTTTGCTTTTTTAAAAAAAAATTATCCAAACATCTTAAAATTTTCAAAATAACTTTTATTTAGAAAAATTAACTTTTTTAAGAATAAAAACACATTCAAACTGGCAGTTACTATTAAGGGGATACATGGATTATTGGAGTACAATTATTAGTTCGTGTCGCCAACTCGCCATGCTTGTCATATGTTTCTTAATTTCTTATGTCCCTTTTTAAGAAAACCCTCTATATGTAGTTATCATTTGTTATAAAAAAAAAGATATGATGTAAATAAGTAAATTTAGGAATGTATTTAATTATCTAAAACCAAAATATATATATTAACATTATAAACCTTATATCTGTCATAAAATAATCAATTAAAAAATAATGATTAGAGAACTTCTAATAAATGTGATGAATAATATATTCATTTATTCAGAGGATGATGGATTGGCTGGATTTTTATAAAAAAAATTAACATGTACTAAATGGATTAATGATTTATCCATTGTAAACCAACTCAAGTTTAAGCAATCCTTCCATTTACCACCCGTAAGGAAAACTTATTTAGGGTTGGAAAGAAAACCCTTTCTCTAAGATAGGGAAGACTAGGGGTGTAAATGGGTCAGGCTGGCCCAGCCCAGCCTACATTGAGCCTAGCTCAGGCCCGGCCTTTCTGAAAAGTAGAGTAGGCTTAGGCTTATAAAAAAGTTTTTTTAATAAATAGGCCATAGGCTAATTTTGTCAAGCCCGGCCTACAACCTTGTAAGCTGGCCTATTTAATTTATTAAAATAAAATAATAAAATAATATTTATTTTATGTGGCAAAGACACAAAGTACCAAATACCAATATCTCTTACTTTTTGTGTTATTTTATTTTATGAAAGAAAAACTTGTCTAATGTCTCCAAATTTTACATGTTGTTGCAGCTTAATACCATGGAGCAATGGGTACCTTGCTGGATTATGATGTTACTGATGAAGATCTTTCAATAATACTCTTTTTTCCCTTGTCTTGATGGTGGTTTAAAGATTTTTAGATGAATGACATTCTCTTATAGACTTTATTTCAGCATCCAGTAATTGTATTTTTCTTATTTTTCCCATTTATTTGACTCTATTCCTCTATGATATACATTCTAGAGCTGAGGTATTATGTTGGCTCTTTCTTGTTTGTCATTTTTTTCTTATGAGAAGTATTAGTGCATGCATAAATGAAACTTTCTTTGCACTATACAATTATTATTTTTGCTTAGTATATATAGTGGGAGGCCTACAAGGCCTGTAGGCCATGTCAGACTTTCTTATTTTTGAAAATGAGCCAGACTTGACCTACAAATAAAGTCTTTAATAGGCCAGTAGGTCAGATAGGCTGAATTTTTTTGACGTAGGCTTAGGCCAGGATAGCCAAAGCCCAGCCCATTTACACCCCTAGGGAAGACCTACTAAACGAGCTGAGAAAATGAATTTCTCATCCAAAAATTGGTGGAAGACATGGTTTTTGAAATATTTAGTTTGGTCTCTTTGGTATTGGAAGAAAAAAGGTGGGTGTATCATTAGGAGAGTATTTTTAGTGCTCCGATCGCATCCAGTAATGGGTACTATTGCCATTTAAAATGAAGGAAAAAATGTTTCTGCAGTTAATGCAGACAAGTTATTTGCATTTATTCCAAAAATGACGTCATTTTGGTATTGAAATCTTAAAAAATTATAAATATAAAGACTATTATAACCCTGAAATAAATTAAAATTACAAAAATACCATGATTTCCGTCCCAAAATAACGTCGTACTGGGCTTACTGCAGATAACTTATCTGTAGTAACTGCAGAAAAAAGCGAACCCTAAAATAAAATACTTGTATTTAATAAGTAAGTCACTTGCGACTTCTCCATTTTCCTCTCTCGTCAACGCTGACATGTTGTCATATTAGCGCTAGTGTCTTATTTCTATTTGATGGATGTATAAAGTAGTGGGTGCGACGAGAGCATTTAAAATATTTTTTATCATTAGCCAACCAAACTACTTGGTTAAAGGAAGGCTTGCTAAATGAGTTGTGGAAAAAGAATGTGTCGGGCAAAAGCTAATAGAAAATTTGATTTTTGAAATTTGAAATCTTTTGATTTGACCTTTTTTAGACAATTATGATGTCCCTAGTTGCTCTTTCTTGGATGTTAATTGAAGTAATAATTCATCTTTTACTTATAGTAGCATCCTTGAAGGAATAACCTTTCTTTAAAGAGGCTTGGGATGACACGAAAAATTGGGGAACAGTATTAAGGTGTGGAATGATCTATCGTTATCGATCTTAAAAACTTTTAAGCCATGCTCTTTATCAATTAGGATATGTCTTGATCGAAAGGTTACCTACATTATTGATTGAATTAGTAGAAATTGGAGGCAAGCTTTGCCATAACCTAATTTTTCCCTTTTTGAATTGGATTGAATTAGAAACATTTTCCTTTAATATCCTAGTTTTCACACTTCTATATTTTTATCCACTTTCTTACTCGATATAAAGCAGCCTAGTAGCTCACTGATATGTAGCAGCCCAAGCTTAATATAAAACCCAACTTAGTTGCTATTGTTGATCATCATATAAAACTGAATAATCATGATAGAAGAAATACCACGTGAAGAAATGCCACGTAAGCTAAGTGAGCCATGTGAATCAATTAGGAAGAGAAATTAGAATCAACTGAATTGTGTGATAAGATGAAAAATTCTATAAAAGGTATGTAATGTGATCTATTGGACATGTGTCAACGACCCACTCAATACTTGTTATACCTGATGGATTAGTGTTCATGTGTGAGTGAGAAATAATGGTAGCATTAGCTGAGTGTTCCTGTGACACATTTTCTAGTATATTGGATTTCTGCAGCAAATTCAAGATTTGCTGGTAATGATCCTAGATGAGAGCTATCGAGGAAGTTTCTTGTTGTGTTTGATCATTCATTGTTACATTGGCAACCGAGGAACTTCCATTTCTCTTGTAACCTGTGGGAAGCCATGAAGAGCATAACACGTCTCCACGATGTGATTGCTCCTATTGCAATGAGTGCAAAACGTTGTGTCATTGGATCCTCGTCCTCCATTGCTACGCCCATGTCCCTATAACTTTGGCCACCATTAAAGGTACTTATTATGGACTGATCTCCAACAACAGATAGAGCTTGAGGATTATTCGAAAAATTCGTGTTGCTCTTAAATTGGAACTGCCATTCCTATTGCACTACCAAAGAAAATGCCTTCGTCACACTTGGCAATGGATCTAGTAGCATTAATTGAGAGCACACATGAGCATACTGCTTATTCAGACCTCTCGAAAATCTGATAGTTTGGTCGTTCTCACAATACAACTGCATTTGTGCCACAACACCACAAACACATGGAGTAATAGGAGTGGGAAGTGGCTTCAGATTCTCCAATTCTTCCCACATGGTTTTAAGTTTGAGTGAAATACTCACTTATTGATTTTTCTCCTTGACACAACTTGTACAAATCTTCTTGGAGATCAAATACACAAAAGATATCCACTTAAGAAAAACAATCTCGTAGGTCTTTCCATTCATCTGATGCTTTCTCAATCCAAAGTATAGACTGAGCGATGATATGCGTAATGGATCAATGGATCCATCTCCCAACCATTGTGTTACATCGATCCCAAGCCTCAAACATAGGATCTTCTTCAGGTGGAGGAGCAAGATTTCCATTGATATATCCAAGCTTATTCTTGGATCTTAAAGTCATAGTCATGGCACGATCCCAAACATGATAATTGTTTCCATTATGTAGAGGAGTAACAAGCACTTGAGATGGACTCTCGTTAGGATGTAAAAAGAACAAATGAGAATGGTTTGTCAAGAACTCAAGAAGAGGATTTTGATTCGTCATGGCAAACAAGAAGCAAGAACAACAATGATAAATGAAGCAAATACCAGAGCTCTGATACCATATTGAAACTCGGAGAAAAGAGACGAAGTGTGAAAGTTGAATTCATTATTATGAAGAATGCTTTCAACTTACGTACATATTTCACATGTATAGCCATTAATGTACACACAACAGTAAACAAACTCACTAACTAAAAGTTGTCTGTGTAACTTCCCTAATTGAGTCACATGGCTCACTTAGCTTACTTGGCATTTCTTCACGTGGTATTTCTTCTATCATGATTATTCAATTTTATCTAATGATCAACAATAGCAACTGAGTTGGATTTTATATTGGGCTTTGGCCGCTGCATATCGGTGAGCTACTGGGCTGCTTTATATCAGATAAAAAAGTGGATAAAACAATAGAAAAATTAAATATTAGAGAAGACTAAGATAATCACGTGACATTTCCCCCCCTAGTAATTATGAAGGTCAATAAGCCCAAGGGAAAAACAAAAACAAAAACAAAGCAACTACAAGTCTAGTCTATGTAAACTTGAAATAACTTGATCAACCTCGTACCTAACACGAGATAAATCCAAAAAAGGACGTGGCATGTTTTTAACAATAGCCTTCTTACTATACCTAACCTTATTCAAAGGTAGATTATTCAAGACTATGCTTGTCCTATATGTGAGTCAAAAACATAAACTATCCTTCATAATTTTATAAAATGGGGTTGTGCAGAGTTGCGGAGAAGTTGAAACCTATTTTAAGAGGAAGTTTAAAGGATTGTATGCATGATAGATTCCTCCAACTTTTAAAAGATTTGGTTGAGTGGTGTGTAATTAATTAATTATGCTGTGGTGAAATGACATCAAAGGAATGCCATAATTCATGGTGAATTATATATAAATATTTCGCTTATTATAAATTAATCATTGAAAACAAAGGTCACATAAAAAATATATATTTCATTAATAAAACAAAGGTTGAATTATATTGTTTCATCCTATGTCAATTCTATGATGCTACATCACTAAATTAACTTGCAATTAATAACAAATTATTTGTCATTTTAGCTGCCGCATCAATACATGATTACAATATTATTATTTTTTTCCATTTAATTAATGTAGTTTTCTTCTTAATTTCTTCAACGGTTTATGACTATCCCATTAATTTAGTTTGAATTGAGCAGCGTTAATGACAAAATTCTTCCTATTAAATTTTAATAAAAATGTATATATAATCAAAATCATTAAATAAATTAGAACAACCGTTACCAATTAATATAACTTTAGAAAGGTAATAAAAGATCAAATCAATTAAATTAAAAAAAATTATAAATAGTTATATTACTACTATAAATATCCCAAAAGTATTAAAACATTTAGGTGGTGTTTGGCTGGGAGCTTTTCAACCGAAATCTATGTTTCTGAAGTATGGCTTTTAGAAACACCATGTTTGTTTCAATGTATTTTCACCAAAAATCCATCTATTTAATTTGTCTGAATTTATGAGAAACGTAGATATCCGCACTGTTTAGAAACCCAATTTGAAAGTGAGATTTTTCGAAAAGCTTTTAATGCATTGTTGATTTCATAAAGTTACCTAATTTTCTCAGTAAAGTTTTTTCCCACCAAATAACTTTTTTTTACATTTTTCTACCTATATCACTTTCTCTATCTTTCCAGTCATTTCTTTATCTATTACATTTTCTTACTATTTCAAAAATTTTCCTCAAACAAACATCCTCGAGCGATAAAAGGTCCAATCAGTGGCACAATGACATTGCATCCATTCATATTCGTATTAGGTTCTAAATTTAAGTCTTTGGAATAAAGAAAGAAAAAGAAAAAAGTCTCTTGTGGGCCAGATCAAACGGCAATACCGCGTTCACTTGAACAAACCGCAACAGTACTGCACGAAATTATGACAACATTCATGATATTAGCAGTGGAATTGGAAATCAACACCTCGCATAGATGGATGAAATATAATATAATTATTATAGAATAGGTACCATAGTTTTTTAAATTATTAATGAATAAAAATATTCATATTTAAAAAAAAAAACCACAGACTGACATCCTTCACCAAATTAACATCCGAACAGAAGTTATAAGTGAATTTGTAATTTTACTTTTGGGAAAAATATTTTTGTAATTGTTGCAAACAATTTTATCTATCATACACTCTGTATTATTGGGAGTATATAATGTAACTTTTGTAATTTAAACAAAAATAGAATTCATTTCAAAAGTTACATTATATACTCCTTAGAATATATAGTGTGTGACATATAATTTTTTTACAGTAATTGTCATATAACTATTGCATTATATAGTATTTACCAAATAATAATAAAGTAAATTGTCATACATGCATGTATTCAATTTGTGCATGCAAACGATAAGAATATTCAGTTAATTTGACAATTTACATAATGAAAATCAAATCTAAAAATGTTACATTAACTATTATTTTTTATTAGTTCAGTACAAATGACAGGAAATATTGTGTGTACCGTAAGGAAGTATTTGATAGAAGGAATTTTTTTAAAATTATGGAAAAGTGAGATTGATATTTCAATTTACGATTGTAATTTCTTTTTTTCAAGAAAGTCGGATTTTGGGATTTATGTTTATGAAAAAAAAAATTTTATCTTAAAATACCACCAAATGGGTGATATTTTAAGAATCCCATATAATGAGAATATTTAATTATTCTTTTGGACATAATTAATCTCAATCCACATTCCCAACAATATTTAACAATTAACCAAACACAGCATCAAGAAAATTAACTCAACATTTGCGTAAATATTTCAGCTTATCAAACAACTTTTTGGTAACATTCGCAAAAAAATTCATTTTTTCATCATATTCCTTCAAATCGTGATTACCTGATAAAAAAAATTCTCCAATAATAAACGCTACCTAAGTTTTTTCTATAGGATGGAGATTTTTTTTTCCATTAGGTTTGTCATTTGGAACAGTGACAAAAATGTCATTGTTCCCAGATTTTTTTCCCCTAAATGTCACACCAACAGTGTTAATTCTCAACATGCCACGTGGGCATAGCAAACTTGGTTGCAATTAATGCACCTGCATGTTTTTACCTGCCACGCCACGTGGCAGGTGGAAACGTGTAGGTGCATTAATTACAACCAAATTCGCTACCTAGAGTAGCGAACTTGGTGTCTACCAGAAATGTGACACATTATCAAACTGAATTCGTTACAGTGTCCAACAAACTTGTTCACGTGATATATTGAGAATTATGGCGTGACATTTAGAGAAAAAAGTTAAGGAAGAGTGGCATTTTGATCATTGTTTGTTCTCATTTCCATTCAACTAATTTTCAGTTCCTTTAGTTTACTTCCCCGTCTTATTTCCTAACATAGGTTCAAAGAAAGCAAAAATATGGACGAAAATTTTGGAGGACACAATATACGAAGTAATATTGTATACATTACCTTAGATAACCTGGAGTAAGGTCCATCAGATCGAGTCTTAACATTTGAATAGTTGTCAAGTGGTGGAGTACTTATGCTGGTAGACGCAATTTGCTTTTCTTCTTTTATTTTGCTGAATATAGCAGTATAACCCTCTCCTGATTTGGGGTCTGTGACATCCCAAGTACCAAATTTGGGTATTGCTGTTGCTTGATGGTTCTGTCGCAACAAAACCATATAAATTTGATCACCATAAAAGACCAAGACTAAGGAAACATTAAACATATATATATTATAAGATCATTTAAGGAACATTACCGCATGGTCATTAAAGGAATGGCTTCCACTTCTGTGTCTATTATGACTTGATGAAGAGAAGCTATTAATGCCACTACCTCCTTTGGACATGTTCCTCTTGTAATCTGATTGTGGACCTATACCGATGACAGAGTAATCAGAATGGCTAAACTCTGCTGTGAAGCTACCTAGACTTTCCCTGCTCCTCCTGTGGTGTGAATAGCGTCGAGTATGGTTTCCCATTACCTCGTGGCTTCCCTTTAAAATAGAACTTTCGTTGTGTGAGTTGGTATGATAAGCCTTCACTTCATCAGCATCAACATTTTGGTCAACTCTCATGCATGTATTGAAGGCCTCTGGATTTTCCATTGGATCATTCGGATTCATTATGGTCCCAGATTTTTCTTTGCGCGCATTCTCAAAATATGCACTGTATGGAACGTTGTCACTGTCCCAATTGCCAAACTTTGGAACGTGAGAATGGTGCTGTCGACGATCCATTGGCAAAAGATTTATCAATGGATGTGGGTTCAAAACAAATGGAGAGGAGTAGTGATAAAAAATTGGAAATGGATACATTGACTATGTTACTAGGGAAGATCCTAATTATTTATGAACAAAATCAATGCTGAAAAGAGACAAGAGAGAAAAAAATGTTGGGATAGACTGACAATATCATTATCATTGGTTTGTCTTAGGATTATCTGATATAATCATGTTATACTATATAACTCCTCAAGTGATCCACTTCCTAAAAAATTATATCATTTCTGAAATCTTGGGATTAAAGGTTGAAATGCTAATAAATTCTAAATATGTTCAATATGACTACCGTTTAATCAAACCCAAAACCATTCCCTTTTAAATCTCGACTAAGTAGAATAAGGATTATCTCACATAATCATGTCATGCTAATAAAAAGAAGTTATTGTGAGAGATACTCCAGCTCAGATGCTCACAAATACATTAAGTTATTACTGAGTATAATAAATCCAATATAAAGTAATTTCGGAAATTATTGTTTGCCAGTTGCCACCACCAAAAACAAGAAATAGATGTTAGATTAAAACAAAATTAGTTTCTCATGTTTAATTCCCAATTATAAGATGCTTTGAACTGAGAATGTATAGAATGAAAACTTACCGCCATTCTTAGTTAGAAGAGTTTCTTATGGCACAGAATCCCGGGCCCAACCACTCTCTGTGCCTCTGAGATTAAAGAGAGTCTCTCCTTTCTGCAAAAACAAAACCCTTTATAGTTGACACGCTGAGGAATGATTATTAATATCTTAGCAATATGTATAATAAGAAACTTTAACCCCAAAAACCTGAGGACCCGGCCAACAAAGTAAATCGATAGTTACAAAGCTTCTTTTAATATTATCAAAATATGAGTCACTTTCTTCCAGTTAAGCAAAAATGGCAGGGAAAATGAATATGTAGCTTCCTTGACTCGAGTTTTGTTCTGCTCTCCACGACAGCATTCTCCTTGTCAAAATCTAATTTCCACCTATTAGAGATTCTTTCTAGTTGCTCTACCTCTATGTGGACATATTATATTTTTTAATAATATATCTAATTTGAGATATCAAAACCCTATATTTGATCGTGCCATTACTCTCAAGTCTTAACACTATCCTAGTATATCCTGCGGTACTGAAGAAGGAAAAGCATTTTTCCCCAGTTCTTTTTGATTGGATATATTACACAAGAAACCGTTGAGATGTCTATTTTCTTTATTCTATTTTTTTTAAAGATCCCAATATATGAACTAAGGCAAATAATTATCTCACGACTAAGAGCTCGTTTGGATGAATTTTTTTTTCTTCAAAAACTACTTTGTTTAAGAAAAAAAAGCACTTCTCAAAAAAAGTTTATTTGGATGTCTGCTTAAAAAAAAAACAGAAGTCATAAAAAAAGTCAAAAATTTACTTTTTTCGGAAGCTAAAAATTTTAGCTTATCAAAAAAGTAGAAGTCAAAAGTCAAATATTTTTTTTTTCAAAATCTAAATAAGTGTAACTTTTATAAAAAGTACTTTTAAAATAAGAAAATGATAAAAATGACTTTTAAAAAAAGTGAATACAAACGGGCCCTAATTATATCATGCAACGGAGAGCCGAGTAGTAGGTTCACTATTTTTTCTTTTTTTCTTTTAAAAACAATGGATCCCACTAGATTCCATGAACTAATCTCCGTTCAAATTTAGAAACTTGGCCTGGCTACACACAAGATGTTTCATATTCTTATTCTTAATAAAGCATTGGGTGAATGTTATTTATTATATAACCTAAAAACATTTATTTCATATTTTGATTACATGACAAATCAAGGAAGGTATGTGCAATATTTAAAAAGTAAAGATAAAATAAATATGAAATAATTGATATTTCTAAGCAAACTCAGCTCATTATTTTCTTCTTCTTGTTTTTCACATTTTTACCAATTCACCTTCTTCTGTTTTTGGTACATACCACCATTTATTTTCTTGATTTTCTTTTAAGTATATATATATTTTCATACATAGCAAATAGAGAAAACAAATAAACAACCAATGCCCACAAGATAAGGTTCAGGATCCTGAATTTAAATGACCCATTATATACAACCCAACTTTTAGATAGAATTAAAATGGAGTAAAAATACTTAATTGATATCGAAACATACATGTAACATTGTTTTATCATCTGAGAAAATTTACTATAATTTTAATTAACATATTATAAAAATGAAATTAATTTAATTTTCCTGAATAAATTAATGTTAACTTAGTCTCTCAATTAATGAGTATTTTATATTTTATATAATTTTTTAAATTCAATTAATATTTAAGAAACTATAGATAAAATAAGAGGTATTTGAGTCCAAAAAATGATATGATAGTTAGATGAAACATAATTTGATTTTTTTTAAATAATGATAAATGATTAAGAGAGAATAAAATAAAAAATTAAATTATATTAAAAAAATTATTCAAATTTAATAAATAAACAAATTACAAAGAAATGACATTAAATTGCAGCTGTATGTTAAAGCTTATTTCCACAACAAATGGATGTTTGCTAAAAAAAATAAAAAAAAATCTTACTTCAAGTAAATGCGACCTTAGAAAGTGTGCTAAGTCATAGAATATTGTTTCAGCATATGACTGGCAGTAGTGTTTTTTTTTTTTAAAGAAAATAATAATTTTCCTTTTAAGTTCAGTAAGTTGTTAATTATTTTTTTGGCTCCAAAAAAAAGTAATCAAACATGTACTAAAGCAAAACAAAGTTCTTAATACTCAATCATATAAAAGGTTCTAATTTAATCTTTTAATAATAAAATTAATATTAATTTATATTCTTTTCAAATACTGTTTTATTTATAAATAAATTAATTCCTAAAATCAATCATTCAAAACACCCTCATAAACATAAGAACTAGTATATAAAAATATCATATACTTTTAATAATATATCGCAAACATGATAATTATAATTGATAAAAATTAAATAATAATAATAATATTTATTTTTAAATAATTAGGATAAATAAATCTTATAACTAAATATCGTTATATTATATATCGAAAAAAAATATCGTTATACTTATGCAATTCGTAAACCCTTATCTGTGTTTTTTCGTTTTGCTTCAGTTCAGCCGCACGGACTCAGTAGTCAGTAGTAAGTTGCGCTTGCAATTGCACTGTGCAATTTGAAGTAGAAAAAGAATTACACAACCAAACAAAGTATCTTCCTGCACGTGACAACAATCGTGGCATAAACCCTAAACCCTGTGAACGAAACGCTCTGTGCAAAATCCATGGCGAAATCATCAAAACGCAGCAGCACCGACCAGACGAAGAAGAGCAAGAAGAAGAAGAACAAGAAGTCAGGTCCCGATGGTGTAGCTATGAAAGTGAAGGCTCCGAAGGTGAACAACCCTTTCGAGTCGATTTGGTCCCGAAGGAAATTCGATGTGCTGGGGCAGAAGCGCAAAGGCGAGACCCGACGCATGGGCCTGGCCCGTTCCCTGGCCATGGAGAAGAGGAAGAAGACGCTGCTGAAGGAGTATGAGCAAAATGCCAAGTCCTCAGTGTTCGTCGATAAACGAATTGGTGAGAAAGATGATTCGCTTGATGAGTTTGGCAAGGCTATTTTGAGATCCCAGCGTGAACGTCAGGTCTGAAGATTGTTGAAATTTTTGTATGTTTATTTTGTTTGTTGTCGAAATGATATCCTCTTGTTTGATGTTTTTCCTTTCTCCTTCTTTGGCTTTCCATAGCTGAACATGAAGCTGAGCAAGAAAAGCAAGTATCACTTGTCCGATGGAGAAGAAGACTTTGAAGGACTTGATGCTCTGGGAAGAGATGATTTTGAGGATGAGATGCTTCCTGACGATGATGGTGATGAGGCTGGTGAAATTGACAGTACGTGGCATTTACATACGATTTGTATACTCAACATATTAATAATTTGGAAGTGGATACCATTAACTAGTGGAGTATGTTCACCGTTTGATCTCTGGTATTTGACTATTTGTATTTTTGCACTGGAATGCATGATAGTTATACGAGATTATGTACATTATTATGTGACTGATGAATTGATGGTCTAACTGGTTATTTGTGATCATTCCAGAATAATAACTAAGGGAAAAATGTGTATCATTTTAAAGGATGTGAAGTTGTGTCATTTGAAGTGAGAGAAAGAGATAGATAAAGGAAGAGAGAGAGTGGACAAAAAAATATAAAGGTGTGGGTCCCATATCTTTGTGAGAGTGAAAGGATATAAGTTGTGTCATTTAAAAGTTTAAAAGGACAAACATTTTTCCCAATAACTAATTAAGCTGACTGTTATGCCATTTTTTGCGTCTTTTTTGGCTACACATTTCTGGCATTCCTGTTGCTGAAGCTATGACCTTATTTCCTACTATTATTATAGCCTTGTGCAATTTGCTTCAATTTTAACCAACTTCTTAGTATGCCCTTGTGTTATTTTTGCATCTTGGGGTTATGTTGAATATTGATTTTGCAGGAAAATCAGATTTGGTTCAGCATCTTAATGCTTATAGTACACGGATTCCGGGGGAAACTAGTGCAGTCGATGGTGAGGAAAATGTAAGACCTGTTATGCTATCAATGGTGATACTGTTATTTTTTTTTCCCTGTTATGATGGAATTATGCATATATGACATTATGCATCACATATGGTTTGTATAATGTGCCAGCTATTTCTCTTTTAATTGACTATATGAAATCTTAATATCCTATCCTGCTAAACTTCTTCACAATTGTCACTGTTTTTGAATACTTTGAAGCTGTTTCTTAATGGTGACTTCTCCTGCAGAAGCATAAAAGCAAGAAGGAAGTGATGGCGGAAATTATCGCAAAAAGTAAATTTTATAAGGTGTGGGATATTTCTTTAATCAGAGCTGTGGTAGTTTATTTGTCTTCTGTATTTGTTTACTTTTTTTTCACTCTAATATTTTCCAGGCTCAAAAAGCAAAAGATAAGGAAGAAAATGAACACTTGGTGGAAGATTTGGATGGAGGTTTTCCTTTGGTTAATTCTGAGAACTTATTACCTCTTGCTGCTTCTCGGACAATGGATAGTCTTGTGCAGGTACTATTTACCCATGAGGGTTCTTCTAGACCCTGATAACTTCCTATTATTATAAGAATATCCTACAATCCAACTTGCTCTATGTGGCAGGAAAAACCTAGTGATTTAGTCAAGCTTGCCAATCAAATGAGACTTGGAAAGCGTGCTCGCCCTTCAGAGAGGACAAAGACACCTGAAGAGATTGCTCAGGAAGAAAGAGAGCATTTAGAGCAATTGGAGGTTTGATTACATGACTTTTAACAATAAGTTTGTCTTTATACTATGAAAAATAAATAAATTACTCCTATGATATGAAGGAGCATTGTTTCACATTTTTAAGCATTAGTTGAGCTTCATTCTTGGTTGAATAGCTGAGTTGCATTTTTAGATGGTTTAGCTTACTTGTTTATGGCCCAAGTGTACGGATGGGCATGAACCCAGGACTGCCAAACTAAATTCATGATTGATGTTTGTAATTTTAATATAATATAGTATCTTGTTGTAGAGGGTGAGTGAGACTTATCACTATGGAAAGGTTGCTGTTTTGTGACCTGGTGGTCGTGGGTTCTAGTCATGGAAACAGGTCCTCTGCACATGGGGGTAAATACATTTTTATTTTCAGAGTCAGCTAATAAGTCCTTTTTATCCATAATTTCAGGAAGAGCGGCAGAAGAGGATGATTGCTGCCGAAGATTCAAGTGATGAAGACAATGAAGATTCAGAAAATCCATCTAAACAGAAACCAAGATCTCTCTCTGGTGACGATCTTGGTGATTCCTTCTCTGTCAATGAAGAAACTGTGACTAAGAAGGGTTGGATTGATGAGATTCTTGAAAGAAAAGATAAGGAAGATTCTGCTAGTGAAGATGGTGATGGTGAAGATTCTGATGACCTGGAAAGCTCTGAAGATGCTGATGAAGGATCAGATGAGTATCTTGATGAACACGAGAAGGGTCTTTCTTTGAAAGATTGGGAACAGAGTGATGATGATGATATTGGTACAGATTCAGAAGATGAAAATGATAATGATGAGGACATAGAAAGAGCTGCAGAAGAACTTGATGGGAAAAAAGGATTGGATGCTGGGGTTCATGTCAAGGCAAAGAGAAATGATTCTGTTGAAAGTGTGAAAAGAGATAATGATTCTTTGGATGGCAAGAAGATAGATGTTGGAGGAAAACAGTCAAAAGAGTTGGACATTCCTTATATAATTGAAGCTCCAAAGACCTTTGAAGAATTATGCTCATTGGTGGATAACTGTTCGAATTCTGACACTATCTTGGTCATCAACCGGATTCGGAAAAGCAATCCAGTCACACTTGCGGCTGAAAATCGAAAGAAAATGCAAGTATGAATCTCTTTACTTTCTATTTACCTTTTGTTTAGATTCAGATCTTCTCTTCTTGCTTGTATTTCTGTGTACTGAATCCACTGATCATTTTCTGTCCCAGTTATTATCAGCAAATGCACAATCTCTTGGTCTTTTTCTACTTGAGTAGAATTATTACCTTGTTATGAACTTTGATGTGGAATTGACAATTAACGAAAAAATTTATATCGCAATTACTATAATTGCTTCCCCCAACTGTGTAAGTAAAGGGTTTTTACTGTCTCATGTTTCATTATTTGAATGAAACCTAGCTGATATATTTTAACTATATTCTATTTTATGCATTTTCTGGTACTGCAGTTAATGCCTATAGTGAACTGACTACTGTTGCTGCCTCGGTGTACTGATTGAAAATTATTCCTGAACTATACCCCAAAAAAAAAAAAAATTATTCCTGAACTGATACAGATACAGATAGTGCATGCTTTATTGAAGGAATCCTGTATCATCAGTTGGGTCAAACTAATGGTTTAATGATGCAAGCCAGATGATGGGTTTTGATATATATATTTTTGTTTGTATATGCATGTGCCTGTGTATCCATCTTCTATTATAACCTTTAATAGCTCATTCATTTAAATATTTTGCTCTTGAAATCTGTAAACTGTAACGCCCGGCCGCTTCAAAAATCAACGACTATCCCCACATACTAACACGAGACTTTTCAGTGTGCTTTTTCCTCACTCGCACACTTCCCGGGAAAACTTCCCAGGAGGTCACCCATCCCAGAATTGCTCCAAGTCAAGCACGCTTAACTATGGAGTTCTTTCGTTCCGGGCTACCGAAAAGCAGATGCATCTTGTTAATATAGGTAGTACCAATTAATTCTTATAAGCTATCCCAAACTGTGCAATCCTATACCTGCACAGCTTTTGGAATCCCTCTCTTTTGGGTGTCGATTCGATTCATTCATGCATGTAACCCCCCACTGGAAGCCTGTCAGGAGCCGCTCCTTGTCTATGCCCTTTCGCACCGGCGATCACTCCCCGCCCTCATCAGTGCTCGGGATGTTACATGCCCACCAGCTTCCGCTTGGTTCGTCCTCGAACCACACCGTACTGGAAGAGAGGCTCTGCTCTGATACCACTTGTAACGCCTGGCCGCTTCAAGAATCAACGACTATCCCCACATACTAACACAAGACTTTTCAGTGTGCTTTTTCCTCACTCGCACACTTCCCGGGAAAACTTCTCAGGAGATCACCCATCCCAGAATTGCTCCAAGTTAAGCACGCTTAACTATGGAGTTCTTCCGTTCCGGGCTACCGAAAAGCAGATGCATCTTGTTAGTGTAGGTAGTACCAATTAATTCTTATAAGCTATCCCAAACTGTGCAGTTCTATACCTGCACAGCCTTTGGAATCCCTCTCTTTCGGGTGTCGATTCGATTCATTCATGCATGTAACCCCCCACTAGAAGCCTGTCAGGAGCCGCTCCTTGTCCATGTCCTTTCGCACCGGCGATCACTCTCCGCCCTCATCAGTGCTCGGGATGTTACATAAACGAATTATGAAAAAGGTCAAATTATGAGCTGATCACTGTATCAAATTATTCATATATTCTCTTTGTCTTTACTGCCCTAGGGGGGCACCACATGGTTGAACATTGGGTAGTTCCAGGTTCAAATTCCACCAGGATGAAATGGATAGGGGCTATATGTAGCCAATTCTTCTTTATTTGGAATTTGTTTAGGATAAAGGTCCTAGGATTAAATTTGTAGCACTTAAAAGAAACAGAGAAAAAATTATAGGCAAAGATATATGGTACACAGCCTGCCGAGGGCTGGTCTCCTGGTCAATAACCGGGAAAATAAATGAAATTCTTCTGTAATTAAGAAAATTTGAGCAGTTCCCTTTATAAAGGATCGAATCCTAATTTAAAACAAATCCTGACCTTCTCATTGATCAAATTTTAGTTGTCTAAAGTAACTTAAATAAAAAGGAAGTCAAAGATTGAAATAAAATATCAAGTATGGATGCTACAATATTTGTGCTACTGATTACTGAAGAATGGACAATATGTAAGCTACAAAAGCATGAACAGTAAGGCACAATGGCATTAGCAGTAACTCATTCCCCTCCTCCTCTTCTCCATTAATTGCTCTGGCATCAAAGATAGTTGGCATGAACAACAAGTCATCCCCCCTGCTCCTCCCCGTCTCCATTAACTGCTCTGGCATCAAAGATAGCTAATTAAAGTAGTTTATGTTGTCATTTATGGTTAGAAAGGTTTAGTTTGTATATTTATGGGACGTAAAAGATTATGTAAAACATATGCCTGATGGTTGTAGTCTAGTTCAGGTTGCACTATTTTGGGATGTTACACATGACTGTTTTGTATACTAGTTTAATGACAGACTCTTAAATTCTGTTCCTAAATATTTTAACGGGAAATTGTTGTTCATGATTAATATATGTCTAACTATATTGGAGGCATTTATAATATTCCTTCTCTTTTCAGGTATTTTATGGAGTATTATTGCAGTATTTTGCTGTTTTGGCAAGTAAGAAACCGTTGAATGTTGAGTTGCTTAATATGCTGGTGAAACCTTTGATAGAAATGAGTATTGAAATCCCATACTTTGCTGCAATATGTGCTCGTCACAGAATAGAAAGGACTAGAAAGCAATTTGTTGAGAGTATCAAGAACTCAGGTCAGAATGAAATGTAGTTGAATAGTTGCATTCTCTACATTAACTATTATCGAAAACTTTGAATTGGCTGATGTTTTTGTAACACATGGTATGAAATCCTTCTGTTGTCACAGAAATCAGTGGTTGGCCTTCTTCAAAGACGTTGTTTCTCTTGCGTTTATGGTCCATGACATTTCCATGCTCTGACTTTAGGCATCCAGTTATGACCCCTGTGATATTATTGATGTGTGAATATCTGATGCGTTGCCCAATAGAATCTGGTCGGGATATTGCCATTGGCTCTTTCTTATGCTCTATGCTTCTCTCTGTAAGTACATCCTGAGGCAAGATACTTTATCGAGTTTATTCTGTCTTTGACTTGTACACTTTTCATATGGTATCATCAGTAAGGAGTTCTGATGAGATCTGTTTGAATTTTATCATGGAATGATGACAATTTACCAAGTCAATCATGGAAATCCATATATAGGATCTGTCTCCACAAATGAGTATTGCTTTTGGATGTCTTGCTTTTGAAGATATTTACTCCATTCCTGAACCTCAATTTTCCCTGTTTTTCAGTTATTGCATTTGCATCTTGCTTATGGACTTAATATAAAATACAGGTATTTAGGCAGTCTCGGAAGTTCTGTCCCGAAGCAATAATATTTCTTCAAACTTTGCTGTTGGCAGCTACTGAAAGTAAAGATATTTCTCATGAAGATTCCGAGGTATGACTTCTTCATTGATCATTTGTAGTTCAAATCATATATATATATATATGTGTGTGTGTATATATATATGTGTGTGTATATATATATGGGGCAAAATTCTTTGAACACCGGTGTCAAACTTTGAAATTTGACACCAAATCCTAGCCGTTGATTTTCACCAATCAACGATTATCATTTATTGAGAATTAATAGTTAATTAATAAATTTGATTCCCAATAAATGATAACCGTTGATTGGCGGAAATCAACGGTTAGGATTTGGTGTCAAATTTCAAAGTTTGACACCGGTGTCAAAGGATCCTATCCCTATATATATATATATATAGGGCTTATCGTTTCTCAAGCTGCTTGAGATAATGTTATCTGCGGCTACTAAATCATAACCATACAAAGATGGATCAACGGTGATAAAGGAAGAGAGAGAAAAAGAGAATCATAACCAATCAAAGGTAAATCAATTAATATAAGGAAATAAATAAATAAAACGACGTAGTTTTGGGGTGGCCGGAGATAAACTTATCTCAAGCAGCTTGAGAAATGTTTTTCCCATATATAAACCACTCCCCATTAAACCTGACTAGCGAGTGTGGGGTGGAGGCAATTCTTGTACGCAACCTTACCCTTGCATAATTGCGAAGAGGCTGTTTCCTGCATTCGAACCTATGACTTTTCAATCATGAAAGGCTTTACCATTGTTCCGGTTCGCCCCCTTTATATATATATATATATTTGTTTGAGGGGGTGGGGGGTGGGTGTGTATCTATTTATGTATGGGGAATACTAACCTCCTCATCCTATGTATTAGCATCTTCCACTCTTCTCCTTAAAAGAAAACTTTTTCAGATATTCAAGTTCTTTCATAGAAAACCAAATTCCTTAAGACTAGTGCTAATCATTGTTTTCTAATCTTTCCATTTTAGACCATATCTGTTAGGTTCCAATCACAATGGGGAAGGAATTTAAAGAGAAACAGAACTAATGGATGTATTAATAGACTGATATCCCCAAGAAAACCAGTAAAATGTTCAAACACCAATGGAAATATAGAAAATTACAGAGGAAAATGATTCAACTACAGTTGCTTAAAAAAGATTACAAAGTACTAAAAATGCTGAAAAGGAAAGGAAACTAATAATGAAGTTCTCTCTCTGTTAGAGAATAATATAAACCATTAAAAAAACTTTCATCCCTTCACCTTAAGGTTTTGGGTTGAAATGGTTCTTTACATAGTATCAGAGCTTCAATGACTATAAGGTCACGAGTTCGATCCTCACCGCATCCCACTTGTGGAATTAAATAAGTATAAGGTAAAACCAAAAAAAAATATTGGGCCTATGCAATATCCACTTTTCAAGCCCAAAGGGCTCTTACGTGAGGGGATGTGTTAGAGAATAATATAAACCATTAAAAAGGTCTTCACCCAATACCTTAAGGTTTTGGGTTGACATGGTTCTTTACACTCCCAAACATCCCAAGTCCAATCCCCAAAATACCATGCTATCCGATATGATACCATTTGTTCGGTTCCAATCACAATGGGAAAGGAATTTAAATAGAGGCAGAACTGATGGAGGTATTAATAAGACTGATTTCCGTAAGAAAATGTAAAGAACCTTGGGATACACCACCCCAAAAGCTAGCTCAAAGGGTGAGAGTGCTCAAGGCCTTATAAAGGCCACATTAGTTGCTCATACAACCAATGTGGGACTATATATCTCAACACGCCCCCTCACACAAGAGCCCATTGGGCTTGAAGAGTGGACAATGCAACAGGCTCAACCTACCTGTGCTAAGAAACGCCCCAAGAGAAAGTGGGGGACGGCGAGGCTTTGATACCAAGTTAAGAACCTTGAGGTCACCACCCCAAAAGCTAGCTCAAAGGGTGGGAGTACCCAAGGCCTTATAAACCTCACATTAGTTGTCCATACAACCAATGTGGGACTATATTTCTCAACACGCCCCCTCACACGAGAGCCCACTGGGCTTGAAGGGTGGACAACATACAAGCCCACCTACATGTGGATATTCCACTACAAAGAAAGTGGGAGGCAGTGAGATTTCGAACGCTCTGATACCATGTAAAGAACCTTGAGGTCACCACCCCAAAAGCTAGCTCAAAGGGTGGGAGTGCCCAAGGCCTTATAAAGGCCACATTAGTTGCCCATACAACCAATGTGGGACTATATTTCTCAACACGCCCCCTTGTGGGACTATATTTCTCAACAGAAAACCAGTAAAATGTACAAACACCAACAGAAATATTGAAAATTATAGAGGAAAATGACCCGGCTACAGTTACAGAAAAAATTTACTGAAGATTAAAAATGCTGAAAAGGAAAGGAAATTGATAATCCAGTAGCATTTGAGAGGCTATGGTATTCTCCCCAAAGTCCCAAGTCTAATACCAAAAATACCAAGCTATGCTATCATTCCCCTTACTCTCCTATATATATGCTAGATTTGCAAGATTCCCAAATCTCCAAATCCTCTACTACACAAGTTAGTTATCCAGATCAGCAAGGGGGGAGTCAAATCCTCTGCGGATACACCTTTATTTGCACGTTCCTATCAATATCCTCCTTTCCTTGTAAATTTTCTTTTGCTATAGCATAATACAGTTGAGAAAACACATTCAAGCTGCTGGCTGTTCATTTTCTTGGACATTTATTTTGTTGCCCATAACATTTTATCTTTTTTCCCTGTGTTCTAGAGTCTGCAATTCTAAGGCCTAATTATGTAAGCTTTAGTACTCTCAAATATAAATAATAAATAAGGAAAGGCCACTGTGCTATTTTCTTTTTTAATTTTATTCATACTATACAGATACTATAGTATAAACATACTAATGAGATGTTGATGCTGAATACTATATTAAACATAATAAACAGCCAGTAGACAAGAAGTATATAATATGAAAAGGTGAATGGTCTGACCGTGGGAAACATTTCCTCTTCAATTTTCTTGCGGAATACACATTCATTTGTCTGATTGGTACTGTATATAAGTCTGCTTAACCTAAACCTCTAATTGAAATTTTGCTAAGGATAAACCTAATGCATAAAGAGGGGAGCTGGGCCCGGGAGAGGAAAATATTCTGGAAAAGATCTGACTATAAAATAGTGTCAACTTGTAGGAATTTGGTTTTCTAGAATTGCTAATTATCAAACAAGTTGATGTTGATTGGAGGAAAATCTTAATTATCTCTTAATACTTTCAGGTGTACCTAACTTTTGTGGAAACTGGTACGAATATGATCTAATTTCCAATTAACATGATGTTCTATGTGCATAATCTAAATGATATGAACTTCTGATTTACTGATGAATTTGGTAAAAAGTTTATTCTAAAAGAAACGATTGACTTTTGAATGATGTAACTTTGATTTAACTTTAACAGTGTAAGTGCATGTTTGATTTTGATTATTTGACACTTTAAAAAAGTTTTTTTTAGCCAAAATCACACACTTGAATATTTTGATTATAGGCTTTTCTAAAAGAAAAATAAGCTAATCCAATCACACTGAATCTAGATAGTTCTTGCACCAATTAATTGCTTTTTAAAGATAAAGTGATGAATGTTCCTCAAAACCTGCCATTGGATTAAAAGCTCTTAATGATTTTCTGCCGTATTCTTTTAATGTTGTTTTAAAAAGAATCAGTCAGTCTATGCATTTTCCTTCAAATTATGGGTCAGTTATTTCTATTCTTGCAGTTCCAATCTTAAGTTCTCTAAAGATTCTTTTCATGATCTTGCATGTGAGATTCAGTTCAAGTAAGTGTATTGCTTATCTATTATGATATGCTGAAGGTTAGCGCTTGAGTAAATCCATAACCTAGCTAGATATTGGTTTTGGTGTACAATATCAGTGGTGACTACATCATGATAGTACTACAGTTTCATGGTTGGACACTAAAATGACCATATTATTTGTTTTTTCTGCCAGTTATATCATCTTATGGAACTGAAAGCTCTCAAGCCTCTGCTGCGCATACATGAGACAGTAAATGAGATTAGCCCACTGAATTTCTTTAAGATAATAGACATGCCGGAAGACTCTTCTTTCTTCACTTCTGTTAATTTCAGGTAACCAATAATTTGTTACCGCCTTTTATCAAAATAAAATAAAATAAATTTGTACAACTATGTTGTTCTTTTATTGGACTATATCTTGGTTTTGCATGGGTCTGTGTTTAAAACAAGAATAATAATCAGGGAAGGGTGCGTAGGCTGGGGGGTGGGGTATATGTTGTATCATTATCATACTTATTTTTAGAGATATATATATGATGAAGTGGTCTGGAATTCGATCTTTACCATCGCTGTTCTTCCAATAAAAAGTGGAATTTCAGCATACCGTATGTAAGTCTGTGCATTTTTCACACTCCAAGCTTAAAGAGCTTTTACATGAGGAGACATATTAGGAATGTAATATAAAACCATTCATGTGTCCTTGTCTAAAAGCTTAAACTTTTGGGATAGTTGGTTCATGACAACTGTAATCTCAAGAACTAATAATGGATGCAGCTAATGTTGAGAGCTTCTATCTTCTGAACATTGATCATTGATGTATTTTTTTCAAGGTTTATGGTTTCCTTTATCTCGGTTATGATTCATTGATTACAGGGCTAGTGTATTAGTTGCTGCCGTTGAAACCCTACAAGGATATATCAACATCTATGAAGGCTTAAGTTCATTTCCTGAAATATTTTTACCAATTTTGAGATTGTTACTTGAGATAGCAGAACAGAAAACTATGCCAGATGCTTTACGAGATAAAATTAAAGATGTGGCTGAGCTCATTAACTTGAAAGTGGATGAACATCACACTTTGAGGCGACCACTTCAAATGCGGAAACAAAAGCCAGTACCAATCAAATTGCTGAATCCTAAATTTGAGGAAAAGTAAGTCCCTCCATGTCCCTTCCTTAAATTTGATAAAATGTTTTAGCCATGCAGGTAGCACTTAAATGTCATATTTGTTATGTAGCTATGTCAAGGGTAGAGATTATGATCCTGACCGCGAACGAGCTGAAATGAGAAAATTGAAGAGACATTTGAAGCGTGAAGCTAAAGGGGCTGCTCGTGAATTGCGTAAAGACAACTACTTCTTGCTTGAGGTGAAGGAAAAAGAGAGGTCTTTACTGGAAAAAGAAAGAGCAGAGAAGTATGGAAGAGCCAAGGCTTTCCTTCAAGAGCAAGAACATGCTTTTAAATCTGGACAATTAGGAAAAGGAAGGAAGAAAAAGAGATAAAACTGACAGCCTTCCTGTTGCTTGCATATTATTCCCCTACATGTTATGTTGAAATAGGTGGGGCTTTACCTTCATATTAGACAGCTCAAGCAATCGTTTTTGTTCAGTCTAGTTCGAAGTGGAGGAACGTACTTATAATTAGAGCGACTTAAAAGTAGACTTTCCTTTCCCCACTCACTATTTTAGAGTAGAAGCAAACTTGTTTAAGACTTTTAGTCTTTTAGACTTTCCTTGTGAATAGTATTATGCTCTTACTTTCCCGACTTATTCTTCTGGAAGGGCAAGTATTATTTATATTTAAGCATGGGGATTGGGAGAATTGTACGGAGATGTAGCTTTTTCTAAATTTCCTGTAAACATTCACAACCACTCTGGTTGAACAAAGATGTAACTTTGCAAATGAATTTGAAATTTAATATTCACTCGATTTTTCCTTCTATTATTTTCATGAAAAGATATGAGTGTGATTATGCAAACATCCAGTAGGTAGAACCATAACTCAGAAGTCAAAGCCCACTAAGCGTTCTCGTGGAAAGTTGATGATCTGTCTTCAATTAGCTGAATCTGATTTCATTTACATTTTAAAGCACATATTATCAAGCCAACCAATGTATGAAAGATAAACTTATATATTATACTATGGGAAAAAAGAGTATCATGTAAAATGATACAAGTTGTGTTCTTTTATATGATTTACATAAAGTATGATCGGTCATATTTTGTGTAAATCTGAAAAGCTGTTTTTTTTTCTTTCCTCAGTCACATCGCTGACGTGTAAAGTGAAAAAAAATAATTTTTTTAGATTTACACAAAGTATGACCGTAAGGACACAAACCCTTATACTGTTTACTAAAAGCAGTGACAAAATAAGGATGTGCTGTTAATAAATTCAATAGTCGAAACAATTATAATATTCGTTTTTTTTTTCCATTTATAGAATCGACTTTTTTACGCCATCGCTTTCTCTCCCATTTCTCTCCATTATCTGTGGCATGGTCTCATTGTTTGTGAGCTTTGAACTCTCTTGAATCTATAATACTTTCTACACACCATTTTCATCAAATATTAGATCTGAGGGAACAATTATGGCTAACTAGAAACAATAAAAAATTGGAGAAAAAATTCCGTTGAGTATACCTAATTACGATATATATATATATATGGGAAGGATCAGTTTACAAACTTTTTTGAATTTTTTTTACAAATTACACTATGTTCTCCCGTGAGAACATAGTGAAACTAGTGTTCTCCCGGGAAAACATAGTGTAGTTTGTAAACCAAAAAGTTTGTAAATATAACCTGCCATATATATATATATATATATATATATATATATATATATATATATATAGGGTTTAGTGAGTATAAAGTGACTTGATGTAAAATTTGGTCCAGTGCACTAAGTTCTCCCGCGAGAACACCATTATAATATTTTGTGTACTATGTTCTTGCGGGAGAACTTAGTGCACTGGACCATCCAGTCACTTTATTTTTATTTTTCCCATATATATATATATATATATTGGGAAATCACTTCTGCTGTCACTGCAAAAGTGATTTCCTTCTGCCACACTCATAGTCAGTTTGTCTTTTTTTTTTTTTAAATGGTGGAGCCCACTATGTTTTTGTGTCAGCTGCAAACTCACAAACTTTGCAGTGAAAGGAGAGTTGCAAAGCTATATATATATATATATATATATATATATATATATATATATATATATATGAGGTAGGATCCTTTGACACCGGTGTCAAATTTGAAGTTTGACACCGGTTCTGAGAGCCGTTAGATCGAAAAAGATCAACGACTCTGATTTGTAAGCATATGATACCATTGATTTTTTTTGATCTAACGGCTCTCAGATGAGGTGTCAAACTTCAAATTTGACACTGGTGTCAAAGGATCCTACCTCTATATATATATATATATATATATATATATATATATATGGTAGGTTATATTTATAAATTTTTTGTTTATGTACCGTATGGATCTATAAGCCCACTATGTTCCCTTCAGAGATGAGTCACTGTATGGATAATACCTTTAGCACAGGTACAGACCAAGCTAAGAGGTACTTGCCCAATATAAGCAAGCAATCAACAATGGATAAGTAAGCGATAATATGACTCAAAGTAAATGGGCAGAATAACGATACATAAGATACCTTCATGGTGTGCCCAAGGGGGCTATTTATAGGAAAAATGGTGTGGGTTGGTGAGGAGGGGGTCAACCCTCCTTGGGATTCACTCTCATGGTGGCAGTGTTTGGCGTGGCAGGCGCTGCTGTTGTAGCAGCGCTGCGCCTTCTGTGCCTGGCGATGTCAGCGTCGGGCAAAGGGGCAGTTTCCCTTTAAGGTGCCTGTGACAGTCGCCTTTGAGGGTTAAGGTCCCAAGTTGGGACATTTTGGTGCTTCCCCTTGGACGCGTCGCAGTATTGGGGGATGAAAGGGTCCACGTCAGCCCTTAGGGCTGATGTGGGTTGGAGCCTGGAGTTGGGCCTGAGCCATTGGGCCACTTAGTAGTTGGGCCATCCGGAACAGTTTACAAACTACGTACTCTGAGAAGTACACACTTAAGTGTTTGTACTCTCCAAAATACATAATGTAGTTTATAAATAAAAAATTTGTAAATATAACTCTGCTTTATATATATATATATATATATATATATATATATATAGACTTTAATGTTTCTACAGTGAATGTAGATAAGTTATCTACATTCCCTCCCAAAACGACGTCGTTTTTGGTTGAAAAATTAAAAAATTATAATGAAAAAAACTATTATAACCCTAGAACAAATTATAATTATAAAAATACCTTGATTTTCGCCTCAAAATGACGTCGTTTTGAGCTTAATGCAGATAATTTATCTACATTGACTGCACAAAAAATTAACCCTAAATATATATATATATATATATATATATGTGTGTGTGTGTGTGTGTGTGTGTATGTATGTATATATATATATATCCATTCATGCGTTGTGTGTTTTAAATTGTACAAGATAATTTTTTATCAGAATCATGGAGTTAGGAATTTGCCGGGAGACACAAACTAAACGGCATAAAGATAATATTTATTTACGTAAGACAAATATTAGTATTAACAAAATTTCAAGAGCAATGTATTTATGCAGAGTGACATCGTACCCTAAATGAGACTGAATCAATGTGTCTAGCGAATAGCAAAAAATATAAATAATTTCTTTGGAATAAGAAAACAGAAGATATGCCAAATGCATTATGAAGATGTTGTTGAGCTCAATAAGTTGAAAACGGATGAACATCACACTTTGAGGCTACCACAAACCGTTACTTTTCATTTTCTAAATTGAAAACATACTTAAATCCATTTAAACCATACATACTCAATATTTCCACCTAAAGGAGACCAACAATGCAAAAAAGAAAATTCCTAACCGAGACACACTTCAATCTCATCAAATAGGACAAAGCTAGTTAAACTTCATTAGTTTGCGCCCACCACCAACTAAAATATTATTGATTCTCCTTGTTTACTTGCGCAAGTCACGGAAGTAACCTGCAGGGTCAAGTTCAAAGTCATTTATGAAAATGCGATAATTCCTCCTCGGAGCCTTCAATCTTTTTCCTCTTGCATGGTCAGAACCTCTCCACACATTTTACTAAATAAACGAAATAAAAACAATAGTTGCCACTACTACCCAGAGTTTTAAAATCCCGCCCCACCTCGGGGTCAACCTCGCTGAATCATTGACCCCCTCTTTCTGAGGGTTCGGATTAGTAGTTAGACTTGACCCCTCTAATCCCCAAAATTCCCCGATTGAACCTGTAATTTCCGGGTCAGAGGAGTCGTTGTATTTTTTTAAAAAAAAATTATATACGAAATGACATCGATTGATGTGTAAAAAAGCAAAATAAAACAAAAACTCACTGCTGCTTAATTTAGAACTAGATCTGAAATCTGAACTGTTCTTCTTATTCTCTTTCGATCTTCTCTCCCATAACCAGTCCTAGTCTCACTGATCCGGTGATCTCTTCCTCCTTTCTGGTTCTTCTCTCCCCACCGTTAATTTATCATGTTGCTGCCTCTCCTCCACTATTCTCTATTGGGTAAGAGATCTCCTCTCACATACTATTGTAGGTGCATATTGAGAAGGACAAGAAGGACATGAGTTTGATGATATAACTTTTCATTAACTCCATTGGAATATGTGTTTTATACTTTGATTAACTTGTGAATATTGACTTGTGGATGTAATTGTTGAATTATGTTAAGTATATTTTGAATCTTTAATGATCGGTGGTTTGATTGTTTTGAATTTTTCATATAGGATATATATTTATATTTTTTTAATGTATAAAATCGTGTCAGCGAAGTGACCCCAAGACTCCCCCAGTTGAACCCGTGACCCCTGATCTCGGCCGAGTCGATGGCTGAGCCGGGTTTTTAAACATTGCTACTACCACAACAGCAATAGCAGCATATTGAACTTTTCCTCCTCCTCCATTTGTTCTACGTACCTTGTACACAAGTGTTGGTAAAGTCACTTTCTCTTGAGTTCTGTGTGCTCTCACAACAACCCATTCTTGCGCTAGCACACTATCAACGAAACTTGTTTTGATGTTGTTATACAAAATATGGGGATATATTATATGGGGTTTGCATTTGTCATTTAACATGACACAACAAACTTTTCTACACACACAACATTTTGTGGGACCCACACTTTTTGAAGAAAAAAGAAAAAAAAAAAAATTTGGCACGCAAAACGAATCTCTATAACATTACACAATCACTTTTCCTACAACATAACTCTTATAAAACCCATATCATATACATAGAAATTTATGGGAAGATATACGGTCATGCAATAGTTGTGCTTTCTCCCTGGATTGGATATTGGAAATGAGTGGAGAAACTGATCAATGAATGCTTCGTATTTGTGTTTTACATGTTTTAATACATGTGAAGTTGATCAATGCATGCAAACATTAGTTAAGGTTATAGGCAAATAACATGAATTATGAAGAGACACATTGTGTATTGAGAACTATATTGAGCATGCAAACATTAAGGGTGTGCATGACAATCTTCCTGGAATGAGTTTTTTTTTTTAATTTCTGTTCCCGGGAACAAAAATGGATGAGAATTGCGTTTGATAAAATCGGTTTATTCTTTTGTTCCTGGGATGAACCAGTTTTTTTTTTATGCTGGGGAACAAAAAAAAGAATAAAAAATTTTCTACTTTTCTAATTCTGAGCACAAAAAAAAAAAAAATCAGTTTTCTCTCACACTCTCACCCACTCGCTGGCTATGGCAGCGTACCAGAACAACCCCTTTTGAATGATTACTCTGTTTTCCACTTGGTATTCGTCCCTCTGGTCCTATCTTCTATTGATCCTACATTTTCTATCTCTCTCGTTTTCTCCAT